ATTGCCAAATGACACAAAAATAAGAAGTATATTTATCAGTTCTACCAACCTTGACCTCATGTTTCGGTGGCGCGGTTTGGTGGACAATAAAGAATTCATATAACTAATCAACTAATCACAAGGAACGATTTTTCGTTTCGGTGGCGCAGTTTGGTGGACAATGAAGAATTCATAACTAATCAACTAATCACAAGGAACGATTTTTCGATAATTAATCAGGATTCCACCCTGTATACATTTTTTGATCCACTAACTAAATTCTTTCGTTGTATTTTCATAAGGTGCGTTCGGTTTAACAAAATCGGAGCCGAGCGAGCAGATGCAGATTTGGTGTCACGTGATCACCTAGCAGATAGAGCTAATGGTATTTAACGAACGCTCAACGAGGTAGTAAATAGTAGATTGCGAGCGCCAGCTGTCAGAAGTAACAGAAAACAGAAACAATTCACTTAACCTTATTACTTTTAAAAACACGTCAGGGCAACAAAGTTCTTTTGAATGTTTGTTGTTTATATTTTGAAAATTACTAGGGAAGGAATGATTCTGTCTCATATGATCGGTCATTAACTGTGGATCCAGGGCAGTTGTGATCGCATATATTACAGATATATAATTAATATGCTACCTACAGCAAATTCGTCGGTCATTCTGGCGATTCTGGGCAAGGAGGATTCTACAAAATTCAGTTTCGTGTTTCGTTTCCAGTGGATCGAGTCTTCAATTTTTCGACATAAAAGAGATATAATTTCAATAACATGTTGTTGACATTGATTTGTTGACAATTGACAACCGAATAACCGATCAAATCTGAATGATCTGCTCCTCAAGGCGGAGCAAACAGATTACATCTTTCAGCTCGCTCTGACAATTAACGAACACGGAGCAGATTAGACAGAGGAAGTAGATCTGATTTATCGAACGCTTTCCGAGCTAACGGATGGAATCGAGCTAACAGATATGTTATAACCGAACGCACCTATAGTAGCCAAATGACCTTGTGTTGTTCTTATTCTTTTTAATACGTGTTCTTTGAATTTATCCATTCCTCTTTGAATGATCGAAATCTGAACAAATCAGCGAAAGAACGAACTTTTCAAAATTCTGATCAACCCGAAGACCTTGAGAGACTGTCAAATCCATTATCCATTATGGTGTCTTGACAGTGACGTTTCTATTTACATAATTTTCTCAAAAAATCTTGTTAATTTTTTAAACTACTACGTGAACAAGTGTTTTAAATTTCTTGCCAGTGCTTCTTATACATTTAGTTCAAACTCGAGTTCAAAATATCAATAGTAATGAGTAATGAGATACCTGTGGAACAAATCAATGAAGAATGATATTTTGAAGATCATATATGGATGATCTATGTTACTTTAAACATTATCAACTATCTAATTTTTTTGTCGACACACAAAATCACTAACCCAATGCCTGCAGAAGTGTTTAGTAAAGCTTGCTGTTAAAAAAACGGGGTTGTAAGTATTTCAAAAAATCATAATTTATTATTAAAGCAGTAGCTATATTCTTTCCTTCTAGATTTGACATTTTGTTTGTAGTAGAAAGTAGACTTTTCTTTTAAGATCCGTTTTTACGACCTAAATTCCAATGGTACAGATAATATGAAAATCATATCAATGAATGTATTGATACAATCTCAGAGCCATCTCAAGAATTTGATGAAATATTTTCCTGTTTCCATTCACAGTACACTGTACCATATTGCCTATGAGGAATTCACTTTCAATTGACTTTCTAAAGTAACTTAAGATCTATAGCCAATAAATGATTTTTCATAAATTGCTTTTGCTAATACAGTATTTAACAAAGAGAAAACTTTTTTTTATATTTCAAAAGTTCCATTATCTACTTACATTGGCCAAAATATAAAAATATTTTCACAATTTTTTGGGAATTTTTGATTGGCATAATCTGGTAATAAATACCTATTAGTTGTTAAGGAAAAGAAAATGTCATTTAAATAAATAATCAACTAACTTCAGATCTTCCTTGAGATTTGAAATATCTCATGAATTAAAAAAAACCTTTAACCCTTTAACCATATACCAATACCTACTAGATTAGGTACCTGAGTGAATAGATAGTAAATAAAAACAGAAATACACCAATATTCAATCTGAATTTTCCTCATATCAGTTAAATACTTTAGTATATACCTATTTATATACATAATACATTGAAAAATATATCATATAATTTTGATGTAATCTGAAAATATGGATAGTCTGGTGGTATAGTGATATGCATTTTGAAAACAATAGAAATTATCTATAAGATAAAAATGCATTGAGATCAATTTATCACTATATTGCAAAAACAATGATTAAAACTATATTGATTATTTGATTATAAAAAGTGAAAAAATCATTGCTCATATCAAGCATAGTGTAGCTTGAACTGGTGAGTACAGGAAATTTTTTTCATTCTCAGATCAACCTGATAGTAAACATTAATTGTACCTATCTTTACTGGTTAGAAAAATACAATTGTGGTTTGCAAATGTAGGTGAGGTGAGGAACCTGAAGCATGAGCACACTCAATTTTTCCTCAGGTGTCTTCATTCAACTGTATAATGATAATATTGCAACTATTCTGAAAACTGTTTCATGATATTTAATAACTCTTAACATTCAATTAAACCAACAATTAGGAATTAACAATTAGCAATCAACAATTAATAATCCTGAGTGTGTTTATACATATCTGATATTAATTAAGAATTAAATGTAAAATGTCTGCTGATTAAAGATTGAAATGATGTTAAAATGTGATTTTGGTCTCCACAATAATTCATGAATCCATAAAAAATATACCAATTAAATATCACCAAACTCCACTTGAATAATGACAAATCTAATCTTCATGTTCTGTCTCCAGAATTTCCTAATTCTTATTCTTAATTTATATGACAGATGTAAATGTATAAACCCTCATACATTTTTCTTTGGGTTCAACTTTACAAGTTCATAGTTGTTAGTTTAATTCTTAGTTCTTAGTAGGCTTGGTCAGTAGTATATCTCTGCTGGAGGTTAGGGTAGAAAGTAAAGATAGACTTTTCATCATTTCCTCAGAATCTCAGAAATCGATAATTAATTAATCTGGCATGTACTCCAGGTATACCAGGTGTAATCTAATCTATTATAAGTAATAACTCCTAGAATATTAGGTGTATCAAAATGAAATTTGGTATAGGTGAATGGCGAGGTAAATGGTATGTGAAGATGAGATATTTTGTAAATTTCTCACTTTCCGTTCGTTTCTGTTGAAACTTCTGTTCTGCAAACGTCAAAAAATGACAACGTTTATTGGTAACAAATTGACAAGTGACACACTATATGAGATTTTTATATTTCAACTTTATGGTCCTTAATAAAGCAACAAATAAATCATATATTTATGAATGTTCAAACAATATTTTTTTTTCTTATTTTTGATAGTAAAATATGTTGGTGAAATATTGAACAGTAATTATGGGACAACCTGAATATCACATTGTTATTCCGGGTGTTTCTCAAAACTGGCTCACCCCTATAAGTTTTTTGTTTCTAGAGATAAATAAATGAAATTCGTTGTGTAATTATAGTACATAAATATGTATTATTTGACTTATTCAATTGTTTTCTGTCAATACCGGTTTGACCGAAAATTGCCCTTATTTTCTTATTTTAAATGGGACACTCGGTATATTTTTCCTTATTTCCATAGAGAATACCATTGTGAGTATAACGACACCTCATTTGTAACATTTTGACATTCATCATCCTGAAATTTTCATTTTCCAATTATTATCAATCTAGAGTGCCATGAATCAGTTGAAGTGGTTGAAACGGTTGATTTTGAATCAAGTTGCCAAGGAAAAATATTTTTGGTGAAGTTTTACGTTCCATGTTTTTCACAGGTTGATTCAAAATTTACAATATCGTAATTATGATGTTAGCTAAATTTGATATAAGTAAAGTTAACATTGGTCCTTCGAGATATTCAGAGAAGCACTAAGGAATACAAAAAATGTCGGGAAAATTTATCATTCAAGTTTCAGTGTCATGAGAAAACCCACTGTGGAATAGGACCAATGTTAACTCTATTTCTTTTCTTTTCACTTATATCAAATAAATATCTTTCTTTTCCGTAATATCTTCCTATATTTCATAGACATTAACAATCATTCATTCATTAATTATCTGACACTGTCACTTTTTCTCTTTTTTCATTTTTTCTTCTTCTTTTTTAGCAGCTTCTAAGCGTAGTTGGAAGATTTGTCTTTTTGATAAGCTGGTACACGTTGATGCAAATTCTTTTGAAGCCTTCTAAATTTTCCATGTGTGCTTCTGGAAATCCAACAATTTTCTCTCTTATCGGTAATACTCTTCCAATTTCACCAGTAGGACTTCCTCCTTCGCCACATATAATAATATCCGATATTGCTTCCTTGTTTTCACCAGTTGCACCATTTTTATCATAGTCTACTTCAACTTGAATGATAGATTTAATTTGATATCGGATATTATTATATGTATGTGGCGAAGGAGGAAGTCCTACTGGTGAAATTGGAATAGTATTACCGATACCAGAGAAAATTATTGGATTTCCAGAAGCACACATGGAAAATATAGAAGGTTCCAGGAAAGAATTTGCATCAACGTGTACCAGCTTATCAAAAAAAAAAATGTCCAACTACGCTTAGAAACTGCTAGAAAAAAAAAGCTGCGCTAGAAGAAAAAATGAAAAAAGAGAAATAGTGACAGTGTCAGATAATTAATGAATGAATGATTGTAAATGTCAATGAAATATACGAAGAAATTACGAAAAAGAAAGATATTTATTTGATATAAGTGAAAAGAAAAGAAATAGAGTTAACATTGGTCCTATTCCACAGTGGGTTTTCTCATGACACTGAAACTTGAATGATAAATTCTCCCGCCTTTTTTTGTATCCCTTAGTGCTCTTCGGAATAGTATTTGTATGTGCATTTGTATTAGATGATGTTGCCCATACTGGTATCGCCATGGGAACACCGGGCGATAAGGCCAGCGTCGGTGAGGTAGTGAAGACAGCGCCGCCGGCCCCGGGGCAGCGCGACCGCCCCCAGCCGCCCGCCCCGGACTGCCGCCCGCCGCCCTTGCCGCCTGATCCGCCTCCGGGCGGCCCAAACGCCGGCATGGGCGTGGTCGACAGGCCGCCGACACAGGTCCATCAGGCTTTCGCCGTGGGAACAGGGTTGTCGCACATAGGTATTAATCGTTCCAGAATAGGTCGCGTGCACGATGACCGACCCTGGAGGCAAAATATTGAAACATAACCTCACTTTTCTGTGAATTATTGAAACACAACCTCACTTTCTTTATTTGTTCACAGAGGAATCAAAGGATTGAAATAGTTTTTCACAATATTTCAGTATACAAATCGTGTTTTTTGTACTATTCATTATTTCAAGCATGCCTTTGCATTGTGCTGTTGTACAATGAATAAAAAATGCAGCGAGAGACGAAGGAATATGATTTTTCAGGTAAATAGTAATATCACATAGTTATCATTATGAAATGTCATTCCTTATTAAAATTCCTTCTACCACTTCTGCAATACAAGCTAATACTGCTAATAGATTGAAAATGTCTACAACACACATGATCATATTTCGTCAGCATGTCAGACCAGTCCTCCCGTTTGATTGCATGAATCCAATCTTCTTGCATTATTTCAGAAATTTCACGAGTATTTCTATTAGCTTCTACTACAGAAGGAATTCCGATGAGAAGTCAGAGAAATTACCAAATTTCAAAAATGAAAACTATATGTGAGTGACTATAGTAGGTACTTACTTTTAAATCCTAATGTACCAACCGGATTCCTTCGTCTTCCGCTGCAGTTTTTGTGCATTGTACAACAGCACAATGTGATGGCATGAGCGAATTAATGAATAGCAGAAAAATACGATTCGTATGCCAAAATAATTGTGAAAAACTATTTCAATCGCTTGTAAACAAATAAGAAAAAGGAGGTTGTATTTCAATGTTGTGCCTCCAGGGTCGTTCATTTGACAGTTCTTGCACGCAACCCATTGAAGACTCTGCTAGATAGATAGATAGATAGATATACACCGAATGACTCAAATCACTGTTTTCAGCACAAAATGGCGAGTACAAATTTTCTAGTACATAGATTAATTTCATTCCCTCTGAGCAAAGGAAGATTCAATGCTGAAAGAAGTGTTGTTTATAAAGTGGCTGGCGTCAATGGACATGATACCATAATAGTAGATAAATTAATACGTAGACATAAATTTAAGTTAACACTTCGAAATTCTACGACTTTTCAAGTGGATAAAAAGAACTGTAGAAGAATCCCAATCCCGTTCAATCCCAAGTATACGAACGGACTTGATAAGGTTTTCAAAGACTTAGGTTTTGAAAGCGTTTATCAGTCTGGGTCAAAATTAGGCAATTCATTAGGCAATCCGAAAGATAGAGTGGACACACTTGAAAAGTCGGGAATACACGAAATAAGTTGTAATGATTGTGATAAAACATACATAGGCCAAACCAGGCGACCCATAAAAACAAGGATCATAACACACATATTACTAACCTCAAATTAGTTAAGCAAGTTGATAATATTAGAAAATTAGACGCATATGAAAGCTTAGAGATATTTAAGAATAGCAATAGAGTAATGAAAAAGGATAATGGACCTATTCCATATAGCCCTCTATATAGTTTAGTAATATGAAAAAATCGGTTTGGTTAGTACTGAAACAGTGTAGTGCCTCTTTCAGATGACTACTACTCGCAAACCAAATACTACGACTATCAGCACCCCGCCTACGCCAACCCGTCCAAACAGAAGACGACATTCCCCTCGACCGTTCCAGATCCGGGGCAGGGGCCCTCCGGCCTGCAAACGCCCAAAACGAAAACGACCGTCGCGACGACGAAACCGAAGAGGCCGAAAAAGCCCGCCGAAGAGCCTGTCGCGACGCCGACGCTTGTCGGCAAGGAGCACAAGTGCCGCGACTGCCACAAGGGGTACGCCACCCCGGAAAAGTTGGCAAAACATCAGCAAACGCACACTGGTGAGTGGGGAGAGCGTCGGCGATGATTTCAGCTGACAGTAGGTCGAATGTAGAGTTCCTAAATGTACTTGACACTGCTGTTTTGACGTTTTTTGTATATTAGAGTACGGACACTATGACAAGAAGTTCTGTCTCCTTTCGGAAACAATTTCTCCAGATCAGGTAATTAATTTTTTCGAGAATTATATAATGGTTATTTAATAATATTGTCTCTCGACTCGAGTACTAAAGACACCGAAGTCCGTCAACATGCCCGGAAGCCGAGTTCATCAATGTTCATAATATTTTATCGCATGTACTCCTGGAGCACGTTTCACTTCAATTGTGGCCCCTTTACCCGATGAATCCGTCATCATCTGGCCTCTATACCGGCGTTGACACACTTATTAAACTTCACATTGAATAGTGGATTGTAACCCAGAAGAGGACCTGGAGACGCCATGTGTATCCTTCCATGGTCAAAATGCGAATCCTTATTTAGCTATAGTAGGTCTAATGTACCGAAATATCGAGTACCTAGAAAGAGTAAGTCAAATGTGCGGATATAACATTATTAGTTCGAATTTACTGACAATCATATTGATATATACATAGATCACATATCTATAAACTAGTATCGCGACTGTCACAATAGAGGTACGTCACCCCGGAAAAGTTGGCCAAACATCAGCAGACGCACACGGGTGAGTAGGGAGCGCTGACAGTAGGTCGAATGTACTGAAAGTAGGTCAAATGTACCAATAGATCGAATTTACCTAGAATAGTTTTAATGTCTAATGCAGCAATAGATCGAATATATCTAAAGCAGATCAAATGTACCGATAGTTCAGAGTTCGGATTTATCATAATTAGTTCAATTGTATGGACTGTCAAATTAAGATATACTAGTTCACATATCTATAAGGTGTCCCAGAACAACGTACCATACATTCTACAGGGTGAACTAGAGACCAAAATGGGTTGCGTGCAAGAACTGTCAGATGACCGACCCTGGAGGTGAAACATTGAAACACAACCTCACTCTTCTCATTTGTTTTCAAATGATTGAAATAGTTTTCCACAATTATTTTGGCATACGAATCGTGTTTTTCGGCTATTCATTAATTCGCGCATTCCATCACATTGTGCTGTTGTACAATGCACAAAGAATGCAGCGAGAGAGGAAGGAATCCGGTTAGTACATTATGATTTAAAAGTAAATTACTACTATAGTCACTTACATATGGTTTTCATTTTGAAATTTGGTACTTTCCCTGATTTCTCATCGGAATTCCTTTTGCAATAGGAGCTAATAGAAATACTCGTGAAATTTCTAAAAGAATGCAAGAAGATTGGATTCATGCAATCAAACGGGAGGACTGGTCTGAAGAAGTGGCAAAAGAAATTTTAATAAGAAATAGGAAATGACAAAATGTCATGAAAATTATGTGACATTACTATTTAACTGAAAAATCATATTCCTTCGTCTCTCGCTGCATTGTTTGTGCATTGTACAACAGCACAATGAGAAGGCATGCTTGAATCAATAAATAGCGCAAAAAACACAATTCGTATCACAGAGGAATGAGGTTGTGTTTCAATATTTCACCTCCGTAGTCGGTCATCGTGCACGCGACCTATAGGCCGATTGAAATCAACTTACTCCTATATGAAAATGCACCTTTGAGCCGTGAGAGGGCGATCAAGAACAACTTTATTTCCATATATAGCATTGGGTAAGCATCGTTGCCCCACCTACTCGAGTATAGCACGTGTGGCAAACGTTAATCCCTGCGGTCGGGCCGAATAATGGACTCGCGACTCGCTCGAAGGAGGGGCTAAGCGTATGGCAACGTCGCTGATCTCTTCGTTAAAATGTCCATGCACAGAATGCATACGGTTTCCCTATAGGAAAATTATTTATTGCTAGAAGTGTATATAAGCAGACGCACGAACATCAGTGAGTGATGAAAGCATCGGCATTGCCAGAGTATTTATAACTAATAAAAATTTGTCGAAAGTAGTTCAGATGTACCAAAAATCTAGTTAATTTGTCTTAAGTACTTTTATTTTACCAGTACCAAATTGCAACTGATAGATATACTGACGATACTCGCTGCTAGAGCTTTGAAGTTGATCTCTACAATATGGTTGATTAAAACCGCTGATGCTATAAATGAGGACCTGATTACTGATCAAAATGCGGAAGCTTCAATGTTCTCCAACAACTGTTTAATTGCAGTAGCCATAATGATAATGATTCTATAAATTAGATCGAATATACCAAAATCATGTTGAAAATACTGACAGAGATCAAATGCAGCAAAAGTGGAAAGATTTCAAAGGGTTGATAAAAGCTTCAAGTAGATGGCAAGGAACTACAGGTCTACAAACCTCGAAACTACCTAGCTTCAATATGGTTCATTGGTATTACTAATACCAAAAAGTCATTTGCAAAAAAATTAATTCCCATTTCCAATAGGTCAGGCAACATTATCGTAGTAAGTTTCATTGAAATTTACTAGCTATGTCAAATGTATGAAAGGTAGGTCAAATGTAACAAGTGAGGTATGTAGTTTTTGAAAGGTATCAGATTAGTATTAAGGTCAGATAATTTATACGACGTTATAAAAGCAGATGATATTTTATCATTGCTCATGTAAGATGGAAGTAGAGGCCATGGCACCATATAATGAGCATATTTTTATATTGAAACTATCATTGGGCACCAATGATGTGTATATGACTCTATGAAAGTTCAGAGAACTGGAGATTTTTCGTACAAACTACGTACTTAGCCCGTACCTAGTTTATTGGCAAAAATAAAGACAGTAGAGTGAGCTAGGTACGTAGTTTATGGGGAAAAAAATCAAGACAGTCGAGTGTGTTTTTTTACTTTCTTTTGTTTTTTGTTTCGTTTTCTATTGGCAAGTGATTAGCTAGGAACTTGTAAATTTTTTAGTGTTTTCATCGTATCTCCCGAACTATTGAATTCAGAGGAAAATGTTATACGGATTTTTTGTAGATTCTATCAAAAGGAATAATTTTGGTTCTATAACATTTTCAGATATTTTCAGTTGTTTTCGAGATATTTGGAATTATCTGAGAATAAAATTTTCAACACTTGTTCCATCTTCCAATCAACAAAATGAAAAAATATTTCATGGTTCAGTGGAAGTCGATGAGCTTCATCTATCGATAATCTTTGTTTTTCAATATATCTTCATAGTACCCTATGGGTCCTTAAATTTTTTTTTTCATATTTTTCACTTTATTTCCTGTACTATTGGGTTTACAGAAAAAATTATAGGAAATAATTTGTAGGAAATGTTCCAGTGGATAACTTTGCACTTCTGATTATTTTCGATTTTCCCATTTGTTTTCGATATATATTGAATTGAAAGGATTTCAAATTTTGATGTTTTGATTTTCATTTGTTTTTCCATTTTCCGATGGATGCACGAAAAAATGATAAAATAATAATTTGTTGCGTCATCGAAGAGGCATACGGTGCATTTTTCAAATTTGGATTTAGTCTATTGGTTCAGGAGATATGTCGTTTTAATGCGTGTGTTTCGGAAAATCTACTTGAAAAACCCACTTGGAATTTTCCCACCCTGCTCAATTTCAATAGGCTTCGTCTCTCTCTGATAGAGTTTTTCTTCACAATGAATGAAATAGATCGGACCACTTTTGCGATTTGTAGAGTGGTTACAAGAAACTTCCGGTGAAAAATCGAAAAAACCCGGAAAAACCACCTTAGAGTTTTCCGATTTCCTTCATATTTAAATGACATAATATTGTTTTGAGTACAATAAGATGGCAAAATTCCAATTCGATATGTCAAAGGGTTCCGGAGATATATCGATTTATGATTAACACAGAGTACAGACAGACAGACCACACACAAAAACCAAAGTTGCTCAAAATTCGATGGGGATCATTTTCTCCAAAGTAACTATACCTCTATCTCGCTTAGTTTCCGAAATAGCATTTTCGGCAAGGCCGTAGTATACTCCACTATGTATAGCGTCGTATAACAAGAAAACCTCCCAATAACGTCCAAATATTGGCTTACTTCCATTCTGGTGATTTTATGCGAGACAGTTCATTTTAACTCGTTTATTATAGGATCATCGTCACCTTTCAAGTGCGACAACTGCAAGAAATTGTTTACATCGAAATTCAAACTAGTTAGACACGCTCTCATCCATTCAGACCAGAAACCTTTTAGTTGTATGGTGTGTGATAGGACGTTCCACAGAAAAGATCATCTCAAAAACCACATCAAGGTTCACAGTCCATCCAAGGAGGTTCATGTGTGCAATTCTTGCAAGAAACAGTACACGTCATTATTAAGGTAAAAAAAAAACGGGAATCGTTGTATCCAGATTGAGGTGAAACACATCAAACTGATATTAATTCATCAGAACAAAATTTTGATAGATAAAAGTATGAATGTTTCGTTTTATGGTGGTCATCAAAATTAATGCCAGGAGTCCTTCAAATGTATTCGATATATTCTTCATTTTCCTCAAAGTCTCCAACAGGCGGACTTATTATATCCATTTCGGTTTGTTTTTTTGTTTGAGATGAAATAAATATAAATTGTTTATTTCACTTATCACATAATCTGACCAATCACAAGTCAGAGACAATTTGTGTTATCGCACAATATTAGCTGTAGTTGTCAGAATGACCATTGTCTCATAATATTTCGACAGTTTTATATTTAAACAAGGTTATATCATTATCTAGCTTTGAGAACCAGTAAAAACATGTCTAAACATTTTTGGTGCATAAGAAGGAATGATTTAATAGTTATAGGAAACATCAAGCTTTTCATTCGGCCGAGGAAGGAAATCTTACTTGCCAAATGTGCTCTGAAGATTTCGAAACGAAAGAAGCCATCTTATACCACTTGAAGATCCACGCTGGCAGCAGGACGGTGAAGAATCCGAACGAGAAGAAATTCACGTGTGATCAGTGCGACCGCAAGTTTTTTACGAAAAAGGATGTCAGGAGGCATCTTGTAGTACATACAGGTGAGAAAATCAATTTTAATAACAATCAGAGGTGGAATAAATGATTGAAATAGCTAACATTGAAAATAATTATTTTATCAAGTACACCTTCATATTTGAAATTGAAGCATTTTGAACACACACATGCTTATCAGTAGTTATTAGTATCTGTTGGAGTTTGTGTCATCATGTTGAGTAACATTGAGAAAATAATTTGAGCTACATACTTTCATTAGTTAATTCATCGCCATCTCGGATTTCCAATCTTCTACTAGAAATTCCTAATCCTTGACCTCGAAAACGTGAACCTTTCCAGGCAAATCGGAATAGAAATGACCAAACAAGGCGGACATAGCGGAGACGTCATCTTTGATTTTCACATTTTGACCCAGAATTCCTATTATTTGACCTTGACAATTCCGTTGAGGATATTTGCAGACGAATAGGCCTTTCCATCTTGATCTATTTTTAAGACGCATACGCTCGTTTTTAGATCCAAAAGTTTATTGGGTAATGCGAAGGTGAAGCCTCATTGGCTATAGTTCCAACACAAAATGCTGATTGGCCATATCGAAATTGACGTTCTGTCAATTGTCAACAGTGTCAATCACCATGGGTCAACACATAGTATTTTTGTTTTTATATTCCTATTAATTGTATTAATAATTTAGTTCCAAAAAACGTTACTTATTCGTTACTGAGGAATGTGGTACTGTGGTCTAAGTGTTTTGGTTAAAATGGCCGCCACTGTCGTTGGATGCGAGTTGTAAACAGAGATAGTCATTTGTCATCTAAATGAAAAGGCCTATTCTAGGAGAAATCACACATTTGCCGGCATATTAGTGGCGCCATTTTGAATACCCTAATTTCGACTCGAAATCATATAATTCGCCCGCCATCTTGGAGTTGTAAAGTGTTTTATTCTGTTATATTTAATAAGGCCATGTCGCACTCGAGTTGTACACCATAATTCTTTAACCAATATTTCACCGAAAAAATGTACAATAACATGTTATGAACTCATATCAATTTGATATACCTCAAGTCATGAAAGTCTGTCTGTTATTAACTTCAATAGAAACGAGGTTATAATGGTCTTCTTCTCAATTTTTGTGTTTCCAACATAAACTTTCATTGTATTGCCTTGTAGCAATCATCTTGTAGCAGAAGCGGATGACGTATTTTTTCTCTCTCAACACCTTCAGAACTTCCTTTCAATTTCCAGGTAAACGCGATTTCCTATGTCAATACTGCCCCCAGCGCTTCGGTCGCAAGGACCATCTAGTTAGACACATAAAAAAAGCGCACCACATCAGATACAGGCCCGACGAGACCGCCACCGCTGCCACGATTAAGACCGAGGTGGGCGCCGAGGCCGTCAAGACCGAGATGTCGGAGAGCAGCCTGTCGAACGCCGCCACTGAGGATTTCGCGGCCGACTTGGACTTTCCGCTGAAGAATATATCCGAAGAGACTCTGACCACGCTGCTGGAAGTGGAGAATTTGGGGTTGGGACTGCCTGCGGCGTCGGAGGAAGGGGAGCTGGAAGACTTGGGGAACACCATCCTGGAGGAAATAGGTAGTCACTTTGAGGTTTCACATTACTGATTCCCAATCAGCCTCGGATGAATTTTCATATAATCTCCAAAAATTCAAAAAAAATTCCAATACCTACCTCCTGTCCCTATTCTCCCTAGGAACGCACGATGTTCTTTAAACATTACAGGGATTCCCTTTCGTGCGCTCCAATCGATAAAAAAAAAAAAATTCATTTCTATTGTCGAACTAGAGCAATTAAAAATTATTTTTCGGAAAACGAAGACGTTTACGGTGAATGTACTATGAACATGGGTATAATGAATTTGGCTGTGAGATACTAATTTCCGAACAAGCCCGAACTGAAAACGAAGGAAAAAAATCAACGTTTCACTTTTTCAGAAGGCTTACACATGATGATTACAAGTATATCCTGAAAGGTGAATTAATTGAAAAAGACTGAAAGTGAAATTAGAGCTTCTTGCTTACCATATCATGAAAATATTACAATTCTGGCGAAGTAATTAGTCAATTCGCGAATCCAAAATTCTAGACGCCACCTGATGGTGAAATTGTTAACCTACTTATTGAATAATCGGTAATGGATATGATTTAATTAGTATTCACTTTCCAATAGTCCTAAATACCTCAAAATAATAGATATCATTTTCTCACTTTAAAACAATCGATATTATTATCTAAAGAAGCTCAAAAGTGAATGGACCACACCGATGCACTGTACAAAACAAGAAACACAAACAATCTTCCTTGGTTGTTGACGTCTCGCAGCGCCCTCATTGATAGTTGAAATCGCAAATAGAGATAAAATTCATTGAATCACCGCAACTAGATCACAATCAACAAGTGCAAATACATCGAAAACAGCGCATAGATGGTAATACTAGACCGTGAATCAAGAGGAAAGTAAGAAACTGTAAACAATAATGACAATGGAAACATATAACCTTAATGAATTTGCAGCTATCGGCATCTGATGTAAAACTGGTTTCAGGCGCGGTTGCCAGGTATAATTTCATGGAAAAAATGAAAATCCATCAAAATTTGTTCAAGTTAGAATTTTATTTTGATTTTATTCATTTCAAGATTCAACTGTGAGTAATGGAGGTATTCTAGATGTTATTGAAATATATATCTATGTTTTGTCTTGATTAGTCATCTCATCAGGCATCCATACATAGGTAACTTGGTTTATACTTTTCGACTAATCAGGAGATCAAATTAGGATGTTTTCCCGTAGTTTTGAATGTCATCGCCACGTCAGAAAATTACCTTGAAAACCGCGCATATGGCAGTTCACCAATGACGTCAACAGAATGGTGAAGGAGCCGAAACTATTTCTATAATTTTTTTAACCGAAGAGATTTCTCGGCCTATTGAGAAAATATAAATTATGTAAATAGTAATTTTTCTTTCTTCACGGAGAAATGAAAATCTCAATACAGAAAACTTTTTCATTGCATACTTTTATGTGAAATCCTTACCCCAATTTTGATTTTTTCTTGTCTCGCACCTTTCATTGCATTTCTAATTGACCATATTTCCAAGAGTTAGACATTCTGTATTGTCAGGTTGGCTACAAACACAAAGATGTCAAATGTGAATGAAAACGGCGCCTTTGTCTCAATTGTATTTCTATCAGAACAATAGGTATTACATTAGGCATTATCAAAAATAAGAGCAAATAGCCTAAAGTTTACGAAGAAGCACGAATGCAAGGCATTGGACCACAGAAGGCAAGCTATTTTTGGTAAACCAAGAATGGAACTACAAGAATATCGGACCCAAGGCATTCGATCGAGTCTGGCACCACGGACTCCTCGCCAAGCTTCCATCTTATGGCTTGTCCCCCTCCCAGCTATGTTCTCTGCTGGCTAGTTTTCTCTCAAACAGGTCTCTCCATGTAGTGGTCGACGGAGTTTCATCTGACTCTCTTATCATAAATGCTGGTGTTCCGCAAGGATCAATTCTAGCACCAACACTATTTCTACTTCATATCAACAATTTGTTGAAAGCAACTTCATGTCCAGTACACAGCTTTGAGGATGTTAGTACCCTCCATACCGCCTTCTCTTCCAGGGCTCCAATACCAGCCAGGCAAATCAGAAACGAAGGAGGGAGAAATGTTGACAACATAAATATGCGCTTGGCAACAATTCTCGATTGAGTATCCAATAACTTGGTAGATTTCCATGCAAACAAAACACGAGCTTGCCTTTTCTCATGAAAAGCTGATCTCACTGTGCCCAACATAAGCTTGTCAGGAGTAACCATACCTTTGAAGACATCCATTTCAATGCTTGGTATTACTATCAGCAATAACCTTTCTTGGGAAAATCAAGTGAGATCAATTGTTAAAAGTGCATCCCAAAAACTTGGTTTTCTGTTTCGGACCAGGAGCTATTTCACTTCCAGTCAGCTGCTTATGATCTATTAGGCACAGATCCGACCGGTCCTGGAATACTGTTTCCACATTTGGAGTGCAGCACCCAAACATACCCATCTGGCTCTATTTTATAGATATTTTCATGGACGATGCTCTTCTGAAATATCAACAATTATACCTCCCTTGGCAGTCCCCGCGAGATCAACCCGTCGAGTTGAAGTTTCGCACCTCTTCTTGGACACTTTGGAGACCTGCAGAACATCTCTTTCCAAAGACTCGTTCATCCAACGAACAGCGAGGCTCTGGAAAGGGAGGTGTTCCCCGAGGCATATAACCTCCAGCAAATTTAAGAAGAACACCAATTCCTACCTTATTGCCCTTGGTTCAGACGATGTTCTCTGAACATTACAGGATATCCCTTTTTGTGGGAACCAGAACATAAAAAAAATCTGGCAAAGAACTTGCAAAAGCTAGTGCAGGGTAGCAGTTTCTGGGAATGGGAACTAAATAATAAGCTCAAGTGACTGCAGTATACTTGAAAACGAACGATCCCCACCATTCGCGATATCATTCATTTATCCTTGTTTAGCGTTTAGGATTGTTGGCGTATACTTTTCAATTATTTATGAATGAATCGCGACTACCCTCCATCCCATTCAATTTTATAGAGGGCCCCACCGAGGCGACCAGGATCATGTTGAGCGACAACTTGGATGCTAGTCAAGACGTGTTAGACGAGGTGGTGCTGAACGATCCCGAGCTGCTGCAGCGGCTGCTGGAGGCGCCCGCCGACAAGAATCTGCCCTTGCCCGGGTTCAGTCAGACGTTCCAGTCGCCCCCGCCAGGGGGCGGTCAGCCCCTGTGAGGGGGTGGCTTTCACCCGGTTCGGATCGGACCCATGTGGGTCGAGGTTTTACTGCTATGAGGTAATTTACTGATGGCTTTCCTCAATGTGTTTTTTGTTTTGTTTTAGGGAGTGTTTGGGAGATGATTCTGAAATAGGTTATGATACATATCAAACTCATGATTGTCGCCATGAATATAAATCTTGATATAAGTCGCCTGCACATTATTTGTGATCTAAAAGTACTGTAGTCACATTGTTTTTATTCGCAAATTTCGTCATTCCTCTTTACAAGTCCTGCAACTTTTTTTTATTTATTTATTCACGGGATAAACCCCATTACAGTATAAATTTAAAAAATATATAAATAACATATTTGAATGTACCAGACACATAAGTAAGTATATGAAACATATACCTACCCAACAATGGCGATATAACTAGTTTACACATGAATATATGGAATAGATGAGACTAGAAACCCTATGAAACTAACAATAACAAATTCGATGGCTAATCAAATGCCACTCTCTTCTACTTACAAGCTATTCAATGATTTTTTTAAACATATTGTAAGACAATCCAAATATATTGATGTTCATGTCGTTCAATATCTTCAGAGTTCTTTCCAAGGGTGCATGCTTGCCATAATTTGTGAAATGGAATGGTAAGTGAAATAACAATTCATGTCTAAGATTCCTCTTTGGAACGTTGAAGTTAATCGACTGGAGTAATTCCGGACACAATATAAGTCCATTGAGGAGTTTGAATACAAAACAAAGATCTGCGTGAGTTCTTCTTGTTTTCAACGTTTTAAGGTTGAGTTCACGTAAATTATCTGAATAATCGTGGTTTTGTATATGAATACCTGATCTATATGCACAAAATCTCAAAAATTTATTTTGTACCCTTTCTAATGAATTAGAGTGAATCTGCCATAGAAGCTAATGGAGTGAAAATTTCTACAACCCACACGACCATATTTCGTCAACATGTCAGATACTCTCGTTTGATTGCAGGATTCCAACTTTCTTGCATTTCACTTCACAAATCTTTCTATCAACTCCTATTGCCCATATATGAAATAGGTTATGATACATATCAAAGTCATAATTGTCGCTATGAATATAAATCTTGATATATGAGTCGCCTATACATAATTTGTGATTTAAGAGTACTGTAGTCACATGGTTTTCATCCGCAAATTTTGTCATTTCTCTTTAGAAGTCCTGTCACTTCTACCATAGAAGTTAATAGAGTGAAAATGTCTACAACCCACACGACCATATTTCGTCAACATGTCAGATCCTCTCGTTTAATGACAGGATTCCAAGTATCTTGCATTTCACTTCACAAGTCTTTCTATCAACTCCTATTGCTGAGAGAATTCTGAAGAGAAATGACGAAATTTTAAAACAGAAGCTTCGTGAGTGACTCGAATTATTTTAGATCACAATTTACCTACCTGAAAAATCGTATTCCTTCGTCTCTCGCTGCGTTTTTTGTGCATTTCACAACAACACAATGTGATGGAATGATTGAATAAATAGATAGCCGAAATTATTCTGAAGAACTATTTCAATCGTTTGTAAACGAACAGGAAAAGTGAGGTTGTTTTATCTTCAGGGTCGGTCATCTGTCAAATGTGCACGTGACCTATTATTTCGACGAGGAGAGAAAATTACAAAAATTTTGAGAATCCGGAATTTCGAGCTTTATAATACAAAATAAATTAACTGTACCATGTGAAAAAAGAACTAAATATTCCAAGAATATTTTTCTTATCTTTTTTATTACATATTTATTGTTTTATTACATTGAAAATTCATCTAATTTTTTTGTACATATCCTGAAGTACTGAATCAATTCATTTTCAGCCGAATATTCAGTCCTGAGGAATCTCCTGAAACAGGTCGATTATCAATCTCAATTTTTCACATTCATGGGGGAAAATTGAATACACAGGGTGATCCACGTTTCAATTATGACGTCCGCGACAGTTGTTTCAAAAGGAACATCATAATATCATTCAATTCTTGGAATCTCCATGGAAAGCTGATTTCAAAAATATAATATCACATTTAGAGTTTGTATACAGTTCTTCATTGTCATCAAGGGAATACCGATGACGTCATTTCTCCTATACGAGTCATTCTGAATGATATTGATATTCATTTGATTTGGAAAAATGCCCAAATGTAAATAGAATTATGCTTTTATTTTTTTACAAATTGGACCCCACACAAAAACATAGGAAGGCTCTGGATTGAATTGTCTGAAATTTTACTATGTTGTTGTGGGATGGCTCCTAAGATGTGGCAAATTGAGATCAAAAATCGATCCGTTTCAGGAGGTTACTCAGAAATGGAGCATGAGGAGAAGCGCCATATTTCAGAATCATCCCTTATACCCCTTTCTAAAATGTCCTGAAATGTATCTCATTCAGGAATTTAATAGACTTCAAGATACTTTTCACTGGGAGTAAATAATCAAAAGTTCAAGTGCGAAGAAGTTTTGTGTCAAATTGAAAACTTACATGTCTCCATACTGAATACAAAGACAAATATATATATTCCGAATTCAACTGACAGTACTGAATCTGATGATTTTTTATTCTGAAATCAAAAATATTACTGAAAGTGAAAGATACTTTTGAGCGGACATACTATTCATTCCAAATATTAAGACTCAACATTCTGCTGAAATTGTTGACTATCAAAAGGTAGTGTGGCTTCAGTGAACTGTCATTATTTTAGAGGGGGAAAGAATTTCACATTTATTTTCGTTGTTTTTTAAACATGAAGTCTTGTCTAATCAATAATAAATCAATAATATCAAATTCAATATCAAAAAATGTCTGATATTGAAATAATTGACGCTGAGAATAATATTCAAATTTCACCAGCTGATCAACTGCTGCTGAATACTGATGAAAACCATGAAAACGTGTTCCGATTTACAGCACTGTACTTTTGATTTCATATTTCGGAACACTGGTTTTCACGGTACTAACCAGGTGGATTCGGAATGTTGCCAAAATAAAATGGAATAATATTTTTGATTTTCGAGCAACAATTAAATCAAGTATTCACTCCAATTCAGTAGCTACTTACTCAATCTTTACTGCTTCATCTTTTCTTTATTCAATTCCCAATATTTTTCACCTCATGAACCTCAAAAAAATGAGATTTACAAAAAAATAGTGTAATTCATAGTCATTCTTTAACATTGTTGTTTACTATGTTACTATCAATTATTGCAAAGCAATCTTATTGAACTTTTTATTTAATTTTATCTTTTTAAATCTCTCAAATGTTATTAAAGTTTTAAGAGAGATAATAATATTGAATTTATTCTTTTATATTGACTATGTTGGTATAATTCAAATTTTATTAACACGTTGAAGAAACTAAAATATGCTGATCTGTTATTCCTTCGACTAGAAACAAAATAGAATCCATTGAATTGTGATTTTTAGAAACTCTTATATTTGATCTGAAATAATTCGCAAAGTAAATATTTTCCTGAACCGGAATTAGTACAGAGCACAAATTTCAATGTTCATCGTTTGTTGGTTTTGAAATTTTGTCATGAATGTGATGAAAAATATGTTTTTTTAAGAAATCACATTATATTTTGTTAATTGGTTCAAAACTAACTTCTAGTGTGACTGTAGAAAAACGAAAATTTACCTAAAAATTGTGGTGCTAAATATATTATTGTTAGCTTTTTATTATACTATTATATTTCCAAAGATTATATACACATAGATTTTCTGAAAATGCGAATTCACAATTTTTTTCTCGACTTCCATCAAAATTCCAATGACCTTATTTCATTACTGAAAATATTATGTGTGTATATTCTTATATTCAGTTGCATTGCTTTCTAAATTTTTAGGGCTAAATGAATTTGTGATTGTAATATAATGTTGGTAGTTTAGTTATTGAAAATTTAGAGCGCATTGCAACTTATGTTAGATGTTATTTGTTAATTTTTAAAATAGTATCAATAACTCACCAACTTAAAGAAATCCAAGTACAAATTCATGAGAAGCATTTCGCCATTTTCACGTTTATTTATTTTTTTATGGAGATTATTGAAAACGGCGAATCAGATATTATACAAAATACACCTACCTATGTGAGGCTGATAATATAGTTTTGTTTAGTTTGCATTATTTTACATTCGAAACAAACAAGAAATTCAAGCTATGATTTTATGGCACAGTTGACAATAATTTGGATCGAAATTATTTTCCTTCACTGGTAGGGACTAAGATTATTCAGTACTTTTTTGCAGTGGTCTTCAATATTTAGTAAAAAAAGTAAAACCCAAATGGCAATGTCCAAATTCATGTGTATTGACAAAAGTATTTCTAAAATTCAAGTGCTTACAAAATGGTATTGTGAAGGAAAAATTGGTTGTATTCAAAATTTACTGTGAATCAAACTGAGTAATCACCATTTTAATTTAATTTTTTTCAAGTTTATGGTGTATTTTGTTTTTCAATCCGAAACTAAACAATTAATCTACCTCATTTTGCAACATTTCATGCTGTACAATCAGCTAGTCATAGTTTTTAAGAAATAATAGTTTTTATGTATCTACTGTAAAATAAAACAAATACATTTCACCAGCACTTGTGTTGTATATGAAAGATAAATGAGTATATTTCAAAACATATTATGTACAGACTATATTTTTATACAAATTATAGTATTATTTATATTTATATTTGTTTCATTCATATGAGATTTGGCATAGTACGTCTGAATAGGGAATATACAAGCATTGGCCATTGAAAATGATAATATATGTAAAATTAATTTTATAATTATTGTTCTAAAATTGTTCGTATCCATCATTCGGTTGCCCCCTTACGAGCAACCCTCAGAAGTCTTCAAGAGACTTGTGCGAGCAAAGAATGACGGGGGTGTTACCTTTTAACGTGTGATCCCAAACACTTTCTTATACCATCAGAAAAATTTCTGCGGTCGTGGTTGGAATCGAACCCACCTACCGGCAATCCAACGTGGATGGAACATTGACGCTTTAACCATGAGGCTACGCTGGCCTAAATATCTTTTATATGACCTGTCATTACTGCAAAAAAACTGGTCTGTATGTGACTGAAATGATGTCAGCATTTCAAAAGGATGTCTACTTTGGCTTTCCAGTAACTAGAGCAGGTGTCTTAAATGAACTCTTTACACCCACACCAAAATTTGTGGTCAAATTTAATTTCTCATTTTTCTCTTAAACAGTATATTCTGTGGAGTTTTAACAGGAAGGCCTTTTTCTGATAAAACTGAACATTCTCTTATGTGATCGAATTGAAGATGTTTTTAATAAATACTTGTTTGATATGTAATAAAACATATATTTCTCTACAAATGCGCAAATGCCACAAAAATTACATGTTTCGCGCACAATAGGCGATTCAAAATAAGCGTAAGCGTAATATATCAATCAACGATTCAAGTTTCCATGCATTTTATCGAAAGTTAAGGGGCCAGTGTAATATTTTTCAAGTTATGAATTCTTCAGTAGAGTATCTTAAATCATTATCGCTCCGTCTCACACGTTATTCTTGAAAGTTTTATCACTGTATTTCACAGAAAATTACAATTTCGATCAGTGTATAATTGAAAGATTTTCTCTCAACTTCCAGATTGAATTCAGTTGCATTTTATTTCCAGAAGTGAAAAGTTACAGTAGAAAAATTGAATCGTCACTCAAAAACAAAGCACATATGTTCAATTTTTCCTACTAGGTAGATCAGTTATTCACAGATACATCCAGCTTTGAGGACTTTTTCTCTTATATGTCATAGATGAATCGTCTATAATACATACATCTCAAATAGCTACCTACTTTGTGAACATTATATTCACTTCACTTAATTTGCAATATTTATTTTATTATTGAATGAAATGCAAAGTAAACGTAACCTCAAATCGGGGCATTTTTTTTTTTTTCGTATCGTATTTTCCCAGCAAACACCGTTACATCACAGAGATATCGCAGCGAGGTAACAATTGTGTCCTGCGATATCGCATTCTACGTCGCTGCGATGTCAGAGGGATGTTATTTTGTCCTACTCAAGTTTCATCCATGCGATGTCGGTGTGAAGTTCTTCACGATAGAACAGCGATATATTTTTTGCAATTTAATTGCGATGTTATTCATGATAGAAAAGCGATGTGTTTTTGCGATAAAACTACATCTGATATTGATCATGTGTTGATCATTTTTGAAAAATTCTCGCATATGAGTTTGATTCTGTACCAGCGCTGGAACATTCTTGAAATCGCAGTGATGCCTCATCGCGACATCTCAGATATGTCAATCAATCAATCAATCAATAACATTTATTGTATCTGAAGAGGAAACCTCATTACAAGAAAATTGGTTCGAACAAATACATAAATTATTAATATAACAGTGTTCAGATTATACATACACTGAAAAAAAGACAAAACAGAGAAATTGTTAATATCATATGATAGAGAAAAAATAAAGAAACAACAAAAATCATCAGTGACGGCTCGTCAGGGACGGCAGGGTCGGCCGGGCCGTACCAAATAATTTGGGGAAAATTACTGAACTATTTGATGAATAAAATTATTTTCCTAAACTGTTTTCATAATTCATCGCTCATTATCCTACTGTTATGCCACTATTATTTGAATTTCATTCATGGAACCTTTGAGTATGCCATCCGCATATACACCGAAAATCACGAACTAATTCAGGACCTACGACATCTGGTAATCCCATCGTCAAAACGCCGCTTTCAGTTGAAACGCTCGCGTAGCTCATTACACTGATGCAGACGGCCGGCCGATCGGTGATTTCTTGTCTCGACGCATCGCCACAGGCATCGCCTACAGATTCCCCGCTTCAAATTTAAATTTTCGCTTATACGCGTCATACCTTGGGTGCGGCCAAGCTCTGCTGGCCGTCCAACGTATCGATCGTACTTATCAGTATCAGTTGTTTGCAGTGCGCTCGCTGTGCACCGTATCGAACCATTCCGACCTAATTTTTAATATACGGATTGGCATGATTGACATTCTATTTTCATTTTACATTGTAGGTATTTATAATTTTAATTCCTATACTTATTTGTAAGTTGATGTTGGAATTTGAAATGTACAAACTGAAAAGAAAAATAATTTCCATGTCTTTGTTTACGCTTGCAGTAGTTGATGCAGTAAAAATGATTTTTGAATTTGCAATTCTTCAGTAATTCATAATTCAACATATCTATCTAATATTGGTATCAGAATTTTCCTTCAGTGCTTCTGAGCGTCAATAAGTTATAATTCAATTTGAATATTGCTGTAATGTAACCTGCTGTGCCTCTGCCTATGTAGGTAATATGGCAAGAAAAATGTCAGCAGTCCAAGAGCTGAGTAAGTATTGAAACATCGTAAAAAAGCTCTGGTGACGAAAATGTAATAAATGTATAACTTCCAGAATATCGTTTATTTTCAAAGACGCATGTAGCGGTTATAACTACCTAAATAATATTTATGCATCCATCGCATCGCGGGAAACATTATACCTACGGCTGCACCCTGCACGCGGGCTCGGCCAGCCGACTACGAAGGAGTGGGGTCAGTGGGTGGCTTGTTACAGGAACGGCGTAGACCGATTATATTAGTCATTGTTGTGCTTCTCGCGTTAGGTGTGTGGTTGTCGGTTATGTTGATTTTTTTGAGTTTACATTACGTTTTCAACAGAATATAAATATTTTTTGTTCACGAGTTATTTTATTTTTATTTTCTTTCATTTTATTTTTTCGACTTTCTTGTTATTATTTTGTCATACCAACTAACCCTTATCCACCTCCTTTTTCTTTCCCCATTTCCCCTGGCGAGAATGCTCTAACCTCGTGGTTCTTGCTGGACAATTTAATTTTTTGGTTATGTGTACAGGGTGATTCACCATAAATGTCCCCCCCTCTAGCTCAGTTATTTTTGAACCGATTTCAAAATTTGAAATATCATCTTGAATGATTTTTGATTGAGTTTTTTTTCGCTACATCAGAAAATACAGGGTGCTCAGAACAAACGATCTACAGGGTACCATTTGATTTTTTTATATGGAACACCCTATTTTTCATTGTATTTTTAGATTCTCCCTGAAAAGCTGATTTGCTCAATGTATCACACTTGGGGTCTATCGGGAATGATTACAGAGATATAGGGTGTTCAAAATTGAGATTTTTCAACTTTAGGATTTTTTTGAGACGAAACTATTCATCATCGGTCAAAACGGCTTTCATGTCCATATCTCAACTTTTGATTTACTATCTACTGACATTTAATAATTGGAACAGATACAGGGTGATCAGAATTCTGAATCTTGAACCACCCTGTAAATGTTCCAATCAAATCTCAATAGACAGTTAATCAAAAATTAAGATGGAAACATAGGAGCCGTTTCGACCAATAATGAATAGTTTCGAGACAAAAAAATCCTAAACTTGAAAAATCTCGATTTTGAACACCCTATATCTCTGTTATCATTCCCGCTAGACCCCAAGTGTGATGCATTGATGAAATCAGCTCTTCAGGAAGAATCTAAAAATACAATGAAATACAGGGTGTTCCATTTGGAAAAATCGAGTAGTACCCTGTAGATCATTTGTTCCGAGCACCCTGTATTTCCTGATGCAACGGGAAAAAAAATCTGAGAAATCATTTTAGATCATCCTTCAAATTTTTAAATCGGGTCAAAAATAAGTGAGCTAGAGGGAGAAAGGACAATTATGGTGAATCACCCTGTACATGCTTATTTGCCATCGAACTTCACTCAAGCTGCTGACCCACTTACGTTCGCATTTTAGAGCAATATCTATACCCTGGCCGACCCGGGTTCTGAGGGCACGAGCCGTCACTGAAAATCATGGCAGATAATATTTAAAAGGCAATCAAGAGATAATTCCAATTGAAAAGTTCTGCAGTAAGACATAATGTGGAGAAACATTAGAGGCATGCGGTTCATTCATTGATGACAAAAGACCGTAATTTCAGGATATTCATCACAATCGTAGCTAATTGTTTCAATAATTCATATGAATGAGTGTTGAGAATATCTATCAAGTCGTCAATGACTCGTAATTTAACAAATAAATCATTATTTCTCAAGCCAGAATATATAGGACAAACCAGTAAGATATGTTCCAGAGTTTCTCTTTGTTCCAGATTACATATAGAACAAAAATCTTCAGTATTGATTATATACGAGGAGCCATAAAAAGTAAATTTCAATCGTGTTTTGCTACAAGTACGAATCTGGGCAACGATTCTGCTGATGTGAATTGGGCAAGGAATTTTTAAGTATTTTTGACAAGTGCTATACAGTGTTAAAGATTGATAAAGGCATGAAAAACTCGACTGATTTAAACTTGCAATATCTTTTCTGAGTAAAATTTCTTTGTAGGAATCAATTATGTGACTTGTTAATTTTTTCGAAGGTCTAATTAAAAAAGAGTGCCATCTGTGTTCCTGCTCGGCGAATATAAAATACTCCTTGACTTGAAGGCGCCAGTTGTACTTTATATCAACGCTATCTAAGACTGCTAGTCTCATGAAGCAAATTTTAGGTAAGCGAGTATTTTCCATATCCTTCAAACTAGTAATCCATGACAAAGCTGCTTTCAGAATGATTGTACTGATTTTATATGAACCAGTCTCCAGACGGACAATATGATCCGGAGTATTCCTTGATAATGACAGTAGGCGCTTGAAAAAACCAACTTGAACTCGTTCAATCAATTCAGCATACCGAAAACCCCAAACACCAATGCCGTATGATAAGGATGATAAAACTATGGAATTGAATAATTTAATCAGATCTCAGATATGTCATGTCGCAGATGTGTTTGGTTCTGTACATCACAACGATGGAACATTCGTAATATCGCAGTGTTGCCTAATCGCGACATCTCAGAGATGTCATATCACAGATGTGTCTGCTTCTGTATATCGCAGCGATGTAACGTTCGTAATATCGCAGTGTTGCCTCATAGTGACATCTCAGAGATGTAATGTCACAGATGTGTTGAGTGGGTACTAAATAGTTGATGAAATGGAAAATTAGTAAATAATTGTGGGTTTCCAGTGGTGGAAAAACAATATTTTTATTACTTATATTAAAAAACAGTAAAAAAACTAATGCATCAATATTTCCATCTGCACCAATCTGCTATTGGTGTCGCCAGGCATCCTATAGGGCAACATTCCTGTAAAATTGGTCAAACATTTTGCTTGCTCTCTCAAATGATTCAACTGCCTATTGGTGGATTCATCATAAAAACGAGGAACATACTCTGTTGATTTAATCTTCTGGTACTCAGCAAAAAGCATATTCATTGTTGCCAATAGCATATCAGGGATAACTTTGCATAAATCAGAGTGAAGGTTTTTGAAACTCTTGACCCGACTGTCTATCTCTTCTGGTCTGAGAGGTATCAGTTGCAAATCATTGAGAATTTTCAGAGCATGGTTGTACTGCTTTGCATGATACTGGTCAAAGAAAGACAAGATATCTTTCAGTTTGACAAAAGTGTTGACAATGGTCATGGTAGTTCTATAACCCTCTCTAGAAAATCTTTCAGCATACTCTACAGCTTTCTCCTGAACCCTGTTCCTGAGAGAATCAGGCTCACCTTCCAATTGTGCTGTTCTGGATAAGATCCCACACACTAGCTTCAACAGTTCCTCTTGATTATTAGCTATATCATACAGCTCAATTGCTTCCTCATGCAATCCCTTTTTGACCAAGTTGTCCCCTATCATCTGAGCAATGCTTTCAGCACTCATAAACTGGTCTACAAGTCCCTTGGTTCTGATCCCATTCCTCTGTACTTTGCCTAGAATTGCTTCATATTGCTTGGTCTCAATGGCCAAGTAAGAGACACTGACCTTGAATAAATTTTGTCCTTCGGAATCTGTGTAATTTCTCAAGAAGAAGAAATACTGCAGAGCCTCATTTGGTGAGGTCAGTTCAAATTTCCGTACATAAAGCATAATAAGACGGGCCAGATTCAACCTACAAGCTGGTTTTTCATCCATGGGATCTGTACTCAGCAGGGGAGAACTAGTATCTGGTGGGCCCCCTAATATGTACAACTCATTCAATGCTATTGCCATGTGGACTCCATGCACCCTGAACTTTTCAATCCTTGATAAAAACTCTATAGCAGCCTCAAATTGCCCAGTCAGAGCTAGAACTTGGAAATATAGGTGTGGTTGGTTGAAAGCATCATAGTGTGTTTCTCCATACTCCTCCAGAATGATTCTCTGCAAGTCATTGTAATTTATATGATCATCTTTGATAGCATTTACTCTCACTAAGCTGAGTTTGAGCCACAGATAATCATCAGCAGTACGTGCTACTTCTGAATGTTCATCTGAGATGTCACAACAGCCAAGGGCTGCCCAAATGATGCGTTTGAAAGGGTCTGTATCATTCCTAACAACTCTCCTGTAGGAGAACTTGATGCTATCTTCCAGTTTGGTGATTTGGGCACTTGGAGCATTGTTCAGTTTTCCTTCAAGTAGAAGAATCAACTCTTGAAATTCTGGTAGGCCACTTTTTTTCAGGCAAAAGACTGCTGCACCAAGATCACCTGATCTGAGGCAGTAGTACACCATTGGCCATAGGGGACGGTCATCTATGAGCCCATTCTGTAGACCCATGTATTCTCCTTGTAAACGCAACCCAACAAAACTTCTTACTAGATGGTAAGTGCCTGGTATGCCACCACGAATTGCTTGAGCTAAGTTTTCATTGATAATGTTGTTCATGTAGGTTTTGTATCTATCCTCCAAGTACTTTTTGCCTTGTTTTACAAGGGCTTCAATGAAGGATTTACTGTTTCTAGTCTTGATAGGATCATCACCTTGTGGAAATGGAGCCAACTGAACCATGTACTTAATTATTTCCCACATATCTGTGATTTTGGCATCCTTGAATTCAGATGAAATCCCAGCAAATATATTCACTAGACTTGGTTTCTGTGCTTCCCTATTGACAATCTTATTATAATCCATTATTTTGGAAACATAAATTGTCTCTATTGGGCCAAGATTACCAACAGAATAAATTGGGCGGTCCAAAGTTATGCTGAGCTGTTTACAAACTTCCATTGCAGCACCAGAGCTAGATCCCATAGCACTTAGTATTTTCCTTTTTTCTTGCTTCCATTCAGAGTTTTGATGTTCCCAGGCTGTATCATAAGTGAATGATAACATGGTACTGTACCCAGAATCAAAAGTAGCCAAAATCTTATTTCTAGTCTCATTCTCAAGGATATTATAAATATCCAAGTCTTCTATAGGCTGTATAGGTTCAAATGTGCGCTTGGTACTGATTGATTCTAACTTTTGAGCTATTCTAGGAAGATCAACCCCTTTTGAACCTAGCAAAAGGTTGGCCTGAATATCCTTGGCTCCTGTTTGAGCCACTCTAGTATACAGATCATTTGAGGCTTCCAACACTTGCCTGAGTGAGCGTTCGACTTTAGGTAGCTCTGTTATTCCTTCTAGTTCACTAGTCAACTTTTCAGCTTCTTGAAGAAGCTGGGAGAAGTCCGACATAATTTTTATGTGTGAATGTTCACCTGGATACCTGATGACATGAAGATGAATTATTATAATATTTATATTCAAATAAAAACCAATTACCTTCACAACAAAACTATACAAATGAAAATCCGTTGTTTTATGTTCAAATTTTCTCTTCTAACCAACAAAACAAAAACAAGGCCAATCTTTTTGGTTAGAATTTAGGCTAGGGGTGGGAGTACAACAAACAAATAATTATTTGATCAAATGCACCAAAGGAAATTATTCTTATCTATTTAGGTTCGAATGAAACGGAAGAAGAATTAGTTCATCTTATTTCCTAGGTTATGTCCATTCGTGCTTTCCATGGACAGGAAAAGCTATTTATTTGAAAAATGCAAGAACTGTCGAACAAGATAGATGTTCTTCTTAATAACTTCCAGGAGTTGACTAAGAAAACTGAACTTTTCTTGGAGTAAGTATAACCTAGAGAACTGCTCTTGCTGCTAATAACAATCTACCATAAAACAATTCTCATGATCTATTTTTCAGCTGTGATGTCTCCCTACAAAACAGAGTAAAAACTAACTTGAAACATGTATACGATTTTTTGAAATCAGAAGAAGTTGGGGTTCGATCAACAGATGCCCTACCAGAATTATTAATCAGAAATTTTGATGATGAACAAATCTGGCAAGAACTTGAACTTCAGAATGATCAGTTACTGACTACTTCATTGAAAAATGTTAGTAAGCTACTTGTCAACAAGGAAACATTGATGTTTTCAAATCTGCAAAATGAAGTCAAGGAGATTGAAGAGTCTGTTGAATCTGTAGAAAATGGAAGTAAATTATCCCTAGGACCTGAGGATGAAGAAGATTCAGAAAATGACTATGATTCAGGAAATACCAGTCACAATTCAGAGAATGAATTAGACATAGGAGGGGGTGATGAAAATCATGAAGATTCTCCTGACAGTCCTGGCATTACAGAGTCAAAACCTCACAGAAAAGGAAGGCAATCTGAAGTGGAAGATGACTTCTTCAAATTGGATGAAATGGAAAACTTCTTGAGATCAGAAGAGCAGAAACTTGATAATCCTGAATCCAAAAGAGATAATACTGAAGAATCTGAGGGGTCTGAGGAAGAAAGTGTTGACTTTTTTGAGGATAACTCAGATGAAGAGGATGAATCATCCAAAACAGCTAGGTTCAAGGACTTTTTTAAAGCCAATGAGGAACCTAATGCCATATCTAAAGCACCCAAAAGAAACAAGTTCCTGGAAGACATGGATGAGAATGATGAACAAGATGACCTAGTTCCAGAGCCCCAACAGAAATCAAGTTTGGAATTGAGAGAAGAAAGGTTGATGAAAAAAATTGGACATCTTGAAAGAGCTGCAGTTGGTGAGAAACCATGGCCTCTGAAAGGTGAAATCAAGGCTGACAGTAGACCAGTGAATTCACTGCTTGAAGAAGTTCTAGAATTTGATTTAACATCAAGACCAGGTAATTTTTAATTTTACTTCTTCGTTCTTCAATAAATGTACTTATGGTTATATTTATCTAATCAGTGGATTGAGATTTACAAACAATAATGGGGCCATAAATATGTTTTCAGCACCTGTGATAACTGAGGAGACTACCCTACAGTTGGAAGACATCATAAAGCAGAGAATAAAAGATAAAGTTTTTGACAGTGTGGAAAGAAAGGCCAAACCAGTGAATACACCAATGGAATTCAAGAAAAAGTTAGTCCTAGACCAGGAAAAAAGCAAACAATCACTAGCACAGATATATGAGAAGGAATACATCAACCAACAAGCTGCCCTAGATCCTGACAACCAAGATAAAGAAGAAGTGGAACCACAGCTGCACAAAGAAATACAAACCATGATGAGAGACCTCTTCAACAAGTTAGATGCACTTTCTAACTACCATTTCACTCCAAAACCTGCTATACCAGAGCTAAAAATAGTTAACAATCTACCAGCCATTAGCATGGAAGAAGTAGCCCCAGTGACTGCTAGTGATGCAGCTTTGTTGGCTCCTGAGGAAGTTCGAAATAAGACAAAAGGAGATATAGTGGGTAAATCTGAGAGGACCACCAGTGATAAAAATAGAGAAAGAAGAAAAAAGAAGGCAAAACAGAAAGCTCATCTCAAGAATTTACCTATCAATAAAAACATGCTGGGTCCTAGGAAACATACTAATCAGAAGAATTTGAATTCAAATAAAAAAGGAGATAAAAACAAGAATGTTGAGAATATGGAGCAATCTCTCAGTACAAAGAGTTTCAAGTCATCAAAGGCCTTCTTCACAGAATTGCAAGAACAAGTTCATTCTCACATAAGTGAAAAAGTGCTAGCAAAGAAGAGAAAGAAGGTTGGTAAAAAGCTGGAGGCAAAAAGAATCAAATTGTAGTGCTTGTAATTTTCTTTGTAAATTTGGTGAAAGTAAAAAAGTGAATTTCAATTTTGAATTATTTTCTTCTAATTTATTTCCTAGTGACCTTTGTCAAAAACGTCTTGCCCATCTCAAGAGCAATGTCTATGTCATGACATGAGCACGATGTAGGATTCATGAGTCATCCTTGTCCGACACTAGCAACAGAACCCGCACCGGCCATAGGGACAAATAAACAAACCGGGCTGGATGTCGAGGCCAAGACACCAAGAAGAAGAAGACAAATAAGAAAGAAAATAACCTCTATTATTAGTTTCTTACATGTTATGTTCTTTGCCTTGGTTTTATAGTTTTATAAAATAGTTGTTCTTGATTCTAACTAGTTCAGTTTATAAAATGTTGTGAAGTGACTATACATTTCCTGCAATAAAAACAATCTAAGCCTATTAACATCAAGTATCTGTGTCAGTTCACAGTGTCAGCTATTTGAGCTATTATGCCTGTTATAAAAAGGATCATCACAAGTACAGCAGGGTTCCAACCAGTTCTGGGTAAGAATACTATTACAGTTTTGAACCTACTTTCAGTTACCCTTCATTATTTTGAATATGTTAATCACATGACTAAACTCCCCAGTTGAATTTGAAAATGGGAAGATCCAACCTGGAGAAGAAAAAAATTTGGAGTCTGGCATTTATGAAGAAAAGAATGGAACAAAGATTGTGGGCATAACTACCAACAAAATGCTTTACACAGGGCCCCTGAGGGAGGATGACCTGTACAATAATTTTTTATTGATACATAACAAGAAGAAAGATAAGGTTTAATTTCTGAATTGGAATTGTATCAGAATTCAATTCTATAATTATTTTGTATTTTCAGATAGAGATGGTTCAAATTGACTGCTGCATTGCTACACCCAAGCTTAACAAGCCAAGTAATCTTATTCAAAGCACACCTTTGTTGTCCAGAGAAATGAATGTATCAGAGCTTCAGAAGCAATTTGGTTCAAAAAAATCAAAAAGAGTCACTGAGCAAAGAGAACGTCTCACCATGAATATAGAGACAGTGAAAGAACAGTTAGAAAAAACGGTAACAGGTACTTTTTTTAGATTCATTCAAAGTAGTTCATTTGTACCTTGAAAAAATATTAGAAAAGAGAAGACGATTTCTCTGTAATTTGTCAAATGTCATTCAGTGTCATTGACATTGACATGAAATGGCTGCAGGAGAAATGTTTGTTTATTTATTTTTGTGTTTATATGTGTGTGTGATATGTGTAATTCCTTGATATCTCTGAAACCTAAACCTTACATTGACAGTGCCTTTGAGCCCTTTGAGGATACATAACTCTAAGAACATGTACACAATTCCATCAGAACAATCAACATTATTGGCTGGTTTCCCTATAGAGTATGGAAGGAATTGAAACTGATAACTGACCATCCAACTGAAATTATGTCCTTGATAACAGAGAATATAGACTATAACAATCCTTTGCTGACTTGGAAACTACCTCCAAGGAAATGCATGGAGTTGAAAACAATTGGGTTGATACCTTTAGAACCTGGTACAGTAACAATCGAAGTTAGCAATTCCAACAATCACACTCTAACTAATTTGCCAAATATGCATTGTCAGATGCCTAGCCAAATTACTCAGGTCCATCAAATGCCACAACATACACAGTGCATTGAACAACAATTTGAACCTATCCCAGCAGTGAACTCTGCTCCCTTAGAACAGAAACAGACCACCAAGAAAGTAAAGACAACCAGAAAAAAGTTTAAAAAATTCCCAGTTGATGGTATGGTATATCACAGTCAACAGTTAGGTCTCAAAGTGCCCCCCAAGAAGGTAAATGACTAAAAGACCTACAACACCCTAGTTAATAGATTTTCATCAGTCTTTAGGTATCAGAGGAATGGTAATACACAGTCAAGCCAGGGAGGTTATCAATAATGTGTTCAAGTTCATGAAGGAAGAAGCACAAAATGGGATTAAAATTCCATTGTCAAATTATAGGGAAAGGGTATTATCTGCAACTGGGATATCCAAGTGTACTTATTCAAGAATCACTACTAAAGAATTCAAACTTGGAGAACCCCAGCCCTGCCGAATGAAAAAAAGTAATGTCTTTTACTTGAAACCCAAATGGGGGTAGACCATAGACAAACAATATTATGTTTTACAAATAAGGCAATTGCAATGATGCTTTTGCTGGTGGAAGCACTGTTCAAATCTTTGAAGGAAGCCTGTTTTTTCTTGATTCTCATTAATGTCATTGGACATTGAAGTATGAATACAAAAATATTTTCAATTATCATATTAAAATTCTGATCATAACTGATGGGGAGGTTTCATCTCCAAATTTCAAATTGTTCAAATATAATGATTTTGTCATTCTCTTCTTTCAGTTTTGACATAGATCTAAATATGTTTTGAAGATAAATAATAGAAATTTGAAAAGATTATTGACATTATATAAATGTTTGTTGTGTATGCTGAAGTGGTACTATAACATGATTCAGAATCATTCATAAAATTATGGGAAATAAAAAAATCACTAAGAATTTTCATTTGAAAACCAAGAGTTGATGATAATAATGATATTAATAATTATTTCAATTTTTGTTATAAACATTACATCTAATTTATTGAAATAAACAACATATGATGAATGTCAATTTATCATACACCCAAAAGCAACATATACAAAAATAATAATAAAAAAAAATCTCATGAAAAGTACATTATGACATGATGAAATGAACTAGTGAATGAGAAATCATTTTCTGTTTGCAAGAGGATATGTTTCTTGACTTTAATTTTGAATTGTAACTTTTGATATCATCAGGTAATTTGTTGAATTTTGAGATAGTCCCATAAGTAAACTCTTTTTGGTCAAGTGTAGAATTAGCAGCATCAAATGAAGTCATATTGTCTAGTATGATGTTCATGGATTTGAGAATTCCTTACCAATATGAAGTTAGATTTGAGGTGTTTGTTGATAATATCAATAGAAATTTTGAGAGTATACTTGTACCAAGTTAACTTTTGATCAATCCAAATACCAAGGTTTTTGGTATAGGCAGTTTATTTCAATCTTTCATTTTGTATTCTAATATTAAACTCAATATATTGATTTCTTTCATGGAAAGTTATATATTGTGTCTTATTACAATCAAGAGAAGGAAGATTAGAGTAAAGCCATTCTTCCATTTCCTTAAATCCTCGTTTATGTTGTTTTCTAAAATTACAGGTTATTTTTTTTCAATAAAAGTGCTCTGTCATCTGCATATATGGCATAGTTTCCTATTAAATTGATTTTTGAAATGTTTTGAAGGTATACAAGATACAGTATTGGTCCCAAACTGATCCTTGGGGAACTCTTTTGTTAATATACAGTATTTTAGATTCACAATTATTGATGTTGGTACTGATTGTCCTTTTTTCAAGATATGTTTTCAAGAGATTGTTGCCAATACCTCTGATGCCCATTGAATTGAGGTTTTTCAGGAGAATATTGTAGTCAACTACTGTCAACTGTATCAAATGCTTTTTTTAGGTTAATAAAAAAAGCTACTACATAATTGCCTTTGTCAAGTCTGTCTTGTATAAAATTGATTATTTGTAAAACTGCTGATTATGTACCACTTTTCTCTTGAAAACCAAATTGATTCAAGTCATTGTCTTTTTTCTCAAGTATTTTGGAAGAAATACTCAACAAAGCTGTGTTCCAATTCATGTGGAAAAATACCTGTTGACCTGTTATTGAATAATTGTCCAAATGATTCAGCCAAACTGTTTTTCAATTCCATTACATCTCATGTGATCAAACCATCTAGATCAGGATTTCTTTAGGGTACTCATTATACTGATTACAGATTCATCAGTGGATATCAGAAGTATTGTTGAATCATTATTATTTGGTGGTATTCTGAGATGATTGGCTATTATTATAAAATGGTTTATCATTTGCTGTATTCTCACCAATACTTGAAAAGTGCAAATTTATTCAGATATTTCTAGGTTGTTGTTAATTTGGCCATTAATTTGTAATGATTCAATATCTGTTCTTTCATTATATTTGGATTTATTTCTCAATCAGTAATTTATTGTATCTCACAGTTAGTACTACCTACTATTTCTGGTATTGTTATATCTAGTATGTGATTAACAGAAAGGGGCAAAATCAGTTATGTGGGATATCCACAATCTCTATATGTTTGTTTTCAAATGGAATGCTCTGTATTTTAACTTCCTGAGAATTGTAAAATTTGTATTGAATTTATTGTCTCTATTAAAGGCATTAAACTGGATGAAAGTGCAACAGAAGTGACAGAAAATGACAGTATCTATCGCCCAAAAATTAACAGAGATGCATCTACAAGGGATGGCATCTACAATTTAGAGGATCTAGTACCTGGATACATTTTGGATACATTAGCGCCTGAGGCAGGTCAAATAATGACTACTGGTAACATGCAACCATACAAGTAATGAATGAAATGATTCCAGGTATATTGAGGTCAATGATTTCTCATTTTCAGTTTTGGTCCTTTTGTTTCCAATAGTATCAGCAGGATTCTTATGAATGATGCCTCAGAAGAAATTCAAATTCGTAGGATAACCATTTTCCTGTACATAAATTACCTCATCAAATTCATGGCCACACCTATGAAAAATATAACAAAAAAATTCATTGTTTGTGATAAGTCGCCTGATGTGAACTCCCATATCTTGGATACTTTTTCTGTGAACAGCCAAAATTCAAGGTAATCTTCAGAATAATCCATTATCTCTTAACTATGCAAAATTTTCATTTCACAATATTCCATTAGGGCATTTTCTGGTCTTATTGTGTACACTATGTTTTCGGAAACCTTGTGGAATAATCAATGACTAATGTTTCTTCATGATATTCATTTGCAGAACAAAATGTAATATTATAATTCTTGTATCTACTAATATTCATATTGAAATATCGGCTACCAAGTCACTTAATATTGCATTATTCCAACACAACCCAACCTAACAAAATACGGAACATTCTAATTATTTGTTTATGCATCTCGCCTACTAACTAGCTTTTCCATTCAGATCAAAAATGGTTTATGTGTCTACTTGTATTCCTTGTATTCTGAGGAATGGATGATTCAAAACCATTTCAAAACGTTCTTGATGGCCTAAAGACCCCTCAGGAGATCGTGAATTGAGTTTTGTGACAAAATAACCATTCAGTATCATCTATTGAATTTGATATACATACGGTATAGTTTCCTTTTATGTTGCTAAGAAACTATAAAGGTTGTTAGCAACGCCCCACGTTGGGCGCCAGATGAAGAGGAATAGGTTCTCAGCAAACTCATATATTTTATGGATTTCATTTCATGTAGGTGCGTTCGGTTTAACAAAATCGGAGCGGAGTGAGCAGATGCAGATTTGGTGTCACGTGATCACCTAGCTGATAGAGCTAAAGATGTTTAACGAACGCTCAACGAGGTAGTAGATTGCGAGCGCCACCTGTAGGAAGTAACAGAAAACAGAATCCATTCACTTAACCTTATTACTTTTAAAAACAAACACGTCAGGGCAACAAAGTTCTTTTGAATGTTTGTTGTTTACTTGGATTTATATTTTGAAAATTACTAGGGAAAGAATGATTCTGTCTCATATGATTGGTTATTAATTGTGAATCAGGGCAGTTGTGATCGCATATATTACAGATATATAATAAAATATGCTACCTACAGCAAATTCGTCAATCGTCGGTCATTCTGCCGATTCTGGGCAAGGAGGATTCTACAAAATTCAGTTTCGTGTTCGTTTACAGTTGATCAAGTCTTTGATTTTTCGACACAAAAGAGATCTGCTCCTCAAGGTGGAGCAGATTAGACAGAGGAAGTAGATCTGATTTATCGAACGCTTCCTGAGCTAACAGATGGAATCGAGCTAGCAGATATGTTATTACCGATCGCACCTACAACAGTTTGACAGGTTTGACAAGCAACAGAACTAAAATTAAATAAAGTGCTGATATCAAACATATTCGCATATTCAGATCTACTCTGTGTGATATTTATGATTTTATACAATAATAGTACATACCTAAAACCAGGCGACTGTTGGTACCGAATACAATTGAATCTCACAGTTCAAATCCCAAATGGCTTTCAGTTCAACTTGTCTTGCTAACAAACTTCATAGTTTCTTATTAGTTTGTTTCTTATTATATTGTTTAGTTCATTGATATCCTATTCCCCGCTTACCCCACTCACGATGTTATTCTTTCCGGCCTATAGTACGGGAAATATCTACTTCCCGTCCTAGGCCGAAAAGTGGTTGCTTCCCGGACAGCTACCGAAATAATTTTTCCAAAACCCGCTCAATTCATTGATGTTTTAGGACTCGTCCTCTTCATATGAAAGACAAAGCTGTTTGCTATACGCTGGTCCTGGCAGCGATAGCGATGGAATATGAAGTCAATGTGGAACAGCTGTCAAAGGATTTGAAAATCGGAGTAAAGAAAACACTAGAGGTGTCTCGCATTTTGGCATTCAACGCCTCCAAGGACAAACACATTGTTCAGCTGAAGCTACCTCTACCTGCACCTGTCACTTTCAGTTCTAAAAGAAAGAGGCTTTAGAAGGAGTGTCTTCTATAATCTCTAGGTTTGCAATTAAAGTACCACTAGTGTGAAGAATGATTTACATTAAAATAAGTTTAAGAACAACGATAATTTTTGATTCTCAAAATAACATCAACCAGAAATATGAACCCACTTTGTTCTCTTACAAGGGGAAAGTCTTAATGAAGACGTTAAAGTTCAAGTTTCATCTTCATTTCATTTTGATGATGATGAAACGTCGCTATTTTTCATTATAGATTCATACTACAAACTGGTACAGATAATATTTCCACTAAATTAAAATCACAGCTTTTTCAAGTACAATATTTTCGCGAATTTCACTTGAAGTAGCTACCTCATTAGTAAAACATGTCTACCTTTCAAGAATTTCCTGGAAATCTTAACATTTCTGAAGTTTTTCATAATTATTGTGATTTTCATGTCAATCTAAGCTCACCAAAATCTCTTCAATTCCTTTGATTTCCAGCAATACAATGAGGATGTGAATAAAACTACAATTTTTGTTTGATGAGATATTATGGTAAAGAAAATATAAACTTATAAAAAATTTGTTACATAAAGTGTAAATTACAAAATTACTGATTATGGACTAGAATATTTTTACAAAAATATAAAAAGCTGCGGAAATAATTGGATTGCCTTATATTCTGGATGGAATACGGTTAATGTTCAACTTCAACAATTCTGATTGAAATTTTGGCAAGAAAAAATTACAACACATAACTATGTATAATCTCAACTAATTGGTCATGATGTATTAACTAGATAAACTTAACAAAATACAATTTTAAATTTGTTCAAATATGGGAATATCTGATTCCCAACGAATTAATAATCAAATATTGCACTATCATCAATAAATGCACCGATAATTGTACCATTAAAACTGCTGAACTTCTCAGATACAGCGGCAGTTTGAAAAATTTAAATTAACTATTTCCAATATAAGTAAAACTACTGATTTTTTATATTGCTAGCTGCACGTAATTAATTAATTTTCTAGTTTAGAAAACCTGGAACAATTGATAAATAAAATAACAGTGTTAACCTATGAAGAAAATTAAGGTACAAATTTAACAGTCAATATGTAGAAGTGGAAAAGGTTTTTCAAGTTGATTATAATATAGACTATCATTTATCTGACTTGATTACAATTGATAAAGAGAATTAAGTTTTCTCTATTCACATGAAAGACAATTTCCACTTCAAACCCAACAAGAAGGTTATACCTACAACTCTTAAGTAATAATGGAAAACTCAGACCCTCAGTTAAAGCTGTCAGTTTTGTAGTATGTGTCTGAAAAAGTATTTGTCTGGTGTCAATGGTTCATTTCAATTTTATCGTCACTCATCCAGTTCGTCCATTCTACACCTCACCGCCATCTCTACAACTTCCAAACTCGGATAGTCCAACTCTTTCACCAGGCATAGAACAGCGGAAAGAATATTCGAATTCTGAAAATAACGAATAATTACAACCTCTAAAATTATACACATTGTATAATCTTTGCTGCCTGGAACCCTAATGAATTGACCATATTTCCAAGGGTTAGACATTTCCTATTGTGAGGTTGGCTACAAAGACGTCAAGCGTGAATAAAATGAGCGCCATTGTCAAAATCATTGGATTTCATGGTATTTCTATTTTCAAAAACTAAAATAAGATGCCTGAATTACAGTGATATTTTGTGTTCACTAAATATTATTGGACTTCATCTACCAATACAGAAGCCGAAATGACCCACACGTGATCAACCAACCTCGTTTTTTTGCGATAAATCAACTCCTACACGGAAAACTTTATTTGCCGACGACGTGAGTCATTTTGACATCGATAAAAATGGATGCACTTTTTTGTAATTGGATAAACTTCCTTACTAGCTCACAAATTTTCCATCAGTTATTTCTCTCGAAAAACTGACATTTGATCGGAAAATTACTGATCGGCAAATGTTTTTCGTTACCAAGAGACATTTATTCGATAAAAAAAAAACCTTGTGATTTTACTGTTGATAAAAATCCGGGATGCGTGCTCTCCGTCCAACATCAAACATCACTGTCTATAGTTCTTTCAACGTTTCTTATTGCTCAAGTAACCTTATATTCGATCTATATTGCTCTGGTTCTGCATTAAATAACTGGATTGCGCTGCCGAAACTAGTATTTAGAATTCGTTCAAGGATGCGAAGAACTAAGACGCCGTATATACTTCTACTTCGCTGAACTGAATCTTTCAACAACATAAACGAGTTTAACTGAAGTATGTTGGAGGTTTAGCCAAATCATTTTCTGATAGTAAATCAACTCCTATATGAAAAACGCTATTTGACGACGACGTGAGTCATTTTGACATCGATAAAAAAGGATCAATAAAGGTGATAATTATTGTTGTTTATCTGTATATTGCAGTTATTTCTCTCGAAAAACTGACATCAGACAAAATTGCTCGACCTACGGCCTCGAAATTTTTTCATGTCAGTATTTCTCGTGAAATTACTGATCGGCAAATGTTTTTCGTTACCTACCAAGAGAAACGTATCCGATAAAAAGTTGAAACATCAAAAACTCGAAAATTATCATCATTTGGATATAATATGTAGTTGAATGAGAAATTACATGTGGAAATTACGTATGATACGCCAATGTCCTCAATATAACCTAAAAAACAACAAATGTCAGAAATCTAGTGTTAATCCCCAGAAATGAGTAAGGATGGAACTATATTACTGTTTCACAAACACTTTAGAGTGAGAGGAGACGAGGGTCTGTTCGTACCCTGTTAAGATGACAAATACATCAATTTACATCAAGGGACCCCCCTACTTGAAATTATTAGGCATCTAGCTGTAACAATCACCGAATATTTCGGGCAAAATAGTATCACTTGTGGTATAACGTATGAAAATAAGAGCGCAAGACCAACTTCTCGGACTCCTCGATTTCCAAACTAATTAAAATTGACAATGACAAAAGACAACGCATTCGACAAATGACAGTAATGCTTTATACAAATACCACAAAATGTCTAACTCTTTCTAACCGAAATATGGCCAATTGCAATATCTTAGGTAGATTACATGTCGTTTCACAGTGGGACAATTTGGAAACTGTTGAGTGTCAAGAAGAGATGTCAGTGACAGAGATTTTACGGTTGCGTGTGCTTTTTTTCTTTAACACTAGGGGAATCGGCATTCTGAAAACACATTTCGTACCGCCAGAGCTCTAAGGTGAATCATATTAAAGGAAAACAACATTATGATGACGAGAAACGCGAGAAAAAAGTAGCAAAATGATCACAAAATTATTAATATTATTTTGGCTTCGCAAAAAAAATATTCGCGTACACAATGATTTCATTTTATTCTCACGAATCACGACCAGTATACTTTTGCCAAATCTGCAGTGGTATAAATTCACCACGACAAAATATAGTGCTTTCCTAAAGATTCATCATTTAGTTGATTCAATTTCTTAGATCCACCAGAAAAAAATACCGGTGACAAACAAAACCATAACCGAATGAATTTGTGAGAATGAACTGTTCTTTCAGTTTGGATTCACTTACTCTGGTCACTGGTCTTCTAGTAAAAGGTGGTCTGTGCACTGCGGCAGGACAGGTGTACCTCTCCCTTTTTTCGTGGGCAGTTGAGACTGATACCTCGCTGCCGCCATGAGAAGGGACATATCTTTCTCCATTAGCGTATTCCTGAAAAAAGATAGTTACGATTAGAGTTTCCAAATGTACTTGCCACTGCTGTTTTGACGTTTTTTGTATATTAGAGTTCGGACACTAGACAAGCAGTGACAATCAAACATAACCACTCTTCTTGAAAAAGGCAGTTTTTATAAATGTGTAGAATTTTATAATATGCTTCCTAGCAAAGTTAAGGAGATCAAAAACCTCTCCAATTTCAGACGAACAGTTATTAGACACTTGATCTGCTCTGAACCATATAAAATAGAGGACTTGAATCAAAGAATCTTTCCCCAGACTTAGTTTTAGGTTCAGTTATAACGGTAGCTCGACCATAGGTATATATATTTATATAAGTAACAATGGAATCTGCAATTCATTTCATGATGGTGCTGTAGGTTTTGCCGGGTTTTCCTACAGTTTTGAAAAGCAAATGCGCCACCCCGTTCAATGTAAGTTGCCCCGGCGCACAATCGGATAGACAATCAAATTATTGCAAATTCCATTTTTGCTTTGTAATATTGTTATAGTTGTAAGCACATATTATTCTCACATATTAGATAAGTAGTTAGGACTTGTACTACACAAATTGTAAATTTGTCTCTGGTATAAATAAAATTCTATTCTATTCTATTCTATTCTAACCACAAACGATTTTGAAGCAAATCATATGTTTTGTCAGACAAGTACAAAGTACAAGAATATGTTTTCCGCTGAGATAAAGGATCCTCGCATTTTCCTTCCTCCACAAGTCCTGGGAAGAGTACATCCATATATCTTTCTCTCTTTTATTTTCTGTGTGAGAGTGCATAGCGTCTCCTCGAGCGGGTAAAAGGGTATGATAAATTGATTAGAAAATATTGAATGATAAGGCTGAAGGACCTGGTAATAGTTTTGAATTTTGCTAAATCTGACTTTTGTATGTGAATCTTTTTGCTTTAACTTATTTTCCAACTCTCTATTTTTTTCTTCTCTTTCTTTCCTGAATTCCTCACTCTCTTCCACTCGCAAACCTTGGATTTTTGAATATTCCTGCTCTAAAAATTCAATTCTCAAGTCTTTCTTTCAAAATATGTTCGAAATGAATTTCATTATCTGCAAGTTTTTCGTTTCTGTTGGTTCTAAATTAGAATAAGGTTCTTTTCGATACTCGCTCAGTTTATAAATTGTTGGTTCGGCTCTTTCAATACTATCCTATTCTTCAACATCAAATCTTCCATTCTGAAGTGTACATGATAAAAATGTGTTTGAATACCTCGCAAATTTTTTGGCCTGAACCTATATTCCATGCCGGCCGCATCATATTTTATTTCCATTTTTGTGGAATTACGTTATCCGATGGAAATTCGAATAGAGTGAATTGATTTCCCGTGTTCTCACAGTTGGAAACTGCACAAATTTGCATCTTTCTCCTAATTCTCTCAATTTGTCAAATCTTTGAAATTTATGTCATGTACTTCCGTTTACTGTCTGTTCCCGCTTTTTCCATCAATATATTTGTGGTTATGTCTGATTGTCAGTGCTTGTCTAGTGTCCCTACTCTAATATACAAAAAACGTCAAAACAGCAGTGTCAAATACATTTAGGAACTCTAGTTACGATCACTCTCCTATTTTGTAATGCTTGTTTTGAGGAAAACACGCTTTTATTACTTGAATGACAATTGGGAGTTGATGTGAAATGAGAACCCACCTTGATACAGCTAGCTGATTGGCTATTGACTATTTTAGTTTCCCTGAATACGGTTTCGCAGGGTAGCACCTCTTCCAATGATTGGTTAGTAGATGAGGATTTCTGGTGAAAATCAATGATATAGTTAGATTTTATTATGGTGATGAATCCTGACAAGGATTTTACCTCGTAGTACTGTTGCTGTCTAGGAGATTCTCTTTCATAGCTGTTCCTCCTCCTTTCAACATATTCGGGTTCAGGCGAATAAATCATTCTTCTTCTTGGAGGAGTGGTCTACATCAAAACAAATAATTAATATTTATAACTAGAGATTTGATATTTCAAGGCAATTTTGGTTGGATTGGCAAGTAATACAACAATATTAATTAGTACAAATTTGTTAGTTTTCAGCAATGAGGTTTTCAACACGGAAAGTAAATCACAGTTAGATGTTGTTTTCACAGACTTCCGAAAAGCATTTGATCAAGTCAACTATGATGTTCTGTTAAACAAAAAAAGAGATATGGATTGTCCATAAATGTTTTAGAATTGTTGAAAAATTATTTACAAAATAGGTATTTCATTGTTAGGCACAATGGAAATACATCAGGAAAGTTTCTTGCCAATTCTGGTGTGCCGCAAGGTTCGAACCTAGGACCACTTCTCTTTATACTATTTATTAATGATATTCCAATGAACCTCAAACTTTCAGACTGTCTACTATTTGCTGACGATTTGAAGATTTCAAGAGTGTAAAAATTGTTAGAGACTCCATGGGACTACAGAAAGATATAGAATATGTTCTAGAGTGGAGCCAAAAGAATAAACTATATTTCAATTTGAAGAAATGTTCTGTACTATCGATAACTCGTGTAAAAGAACCAATTCTTTTCGGGTATCAAATGGACGGAGAGATCCTAAAAAGGAATGCAGAAATAAGAGATCTTGGGTTAACTTACAACTCACAGTTCTCGTTTGGCAACCACATTAAATAAATCGTAAAATCTGCCATTAAAATTTTAGGATTTGTTATCAGACAGACATCATCTTTTTATATAAATACTATCCAGTTACTTCATTATTCCCTAGTCAGACATAAACTGGAGTTGGCCTCTATTATTTGGTTTGGAGAATATCAAACAGTATCATGTATGACCTCAATATAATAACATAAGAACATCACATTTGAGATCTGAATTCAAAATATTATCCCTGAAGCAAAGAAGAAGCCTAACTTCTTCGATATTTCTGTACAAACTAATAAACAATAAAGCAATTAAGAGAACAAACTCAAAGTCTCTTAATTATCTCATCACCTCCAATTTGAGCATGGACTACTACCAGAGATTTAAAATAAAGTAAATTCTCCAGAAATTCTCAATATAATTTCCTTCAATGTTTCAGCATTAGGCACCACTGGTATCCTTACTTAGATTAGCCAACAATGTTAATACACTAATCAGTTCAGACTGGACCTCACCCCCAACACTTTATCGTAAAAGCATATTAGAGCATATATTGCAAGCATTCACAAGTTCACATCTTCTGAATTCAGTATGTCTACCTACTACAATTCTTGTAAATAATCAATAAATTAATTAATTAATTATTAAATTAACTATTAATCAATAATTAACAATTATGTATTGAGTAATTACAACAGAAGGTACAATTTTTTTTGTGTAATTTCATAGTATTTTATATTTATCCTTGTAATTAGGCTGTAATAGCCTGTTTGGATGATAAATAAATAAATAAATAAATCAAAAATAAGAGATAACAAATCGTTTTCGGCATATTACCTGCCTAGGTGGGGAGAACTCTCTGCTCTCTTCAGATACATCTTCTCTGGGGTATACATCCTCGATTTCTTCAGCTTCCTCAGGATCAGGTGTCTGTTAATGAATTGTTAATGGGTTAGGTATACTAATGGCCGTGAAAGGTGCAGTAGTGATCGTACAGTCAAATTTTGGGTGTACTAGTGTGGTTATATACCCACTTGACTGCACGTAATAAAACCACCGACTTAAAGACTAATCCAGACCACCAGTTCGATAAGGAAAAAGGTGAGGCACTCAGGAGATTTAAAGTTGTCTTCACAAGTTAAATACTTAGGTGTGTGCATTGACAAAAAGTTCACCTAGGCCCAGCACATTGAACAGCAAGTTTCAAAAGCAAAACGAGCCATTGGAGCCCTGTATCCATTTCTAAACAGACGAAGTAAATTGGGTTTGAGACAAAAATTGAATATTTACATCATTGCTATCAGGCCAATTTTACTGTATGCCTCTTGCCTGGAAGCATCAGAAAGCTGTCTGGCGTAAAATGGTCCGAACATAATTATCCTTTCTGAGTGGACAAGGTCCAATAATGGTCTCCTAATATGCTCAAACCATTCATTTCTCTCATTTTTAGGAATGTTAGAATCATTATTGAATGAGTAAACTCCTCTAAAATAGATGAGCAGGTGGTGCCTGAATGAATATACAAAACATGCTTGAGTCCATCTGATTCAAATACTTGCTCAACAGATATGGAAGCAAATTAAAATGATAAATTATTCATTACCCACAAACTCACCGATGAAATCGTGGAATTCTTACACCAATGATAAAACGAAAAATTTAAGCCGACCCCTGATGACATAAACAAAACACTTAAGCTGACGGCATTCACCTTGGCGCCACCTATGAAGAAAATGGATGCTAGGTTGATTTCGATACCACGTCAAAGTCATGCATGGGGTTTCTTGCGTATTGAGCAGAAGCGTTTTCAGGCGAGCAACTGACCCTACTTTTTCGGGTTGCTGCGATATGATTACTAGCAGTCTAGATGGAGTAATAAGTCGGTGAATAAAACTCTTGGCAGATCATAATAATGATGTTATAGTAGAATGGATATTGCATATTATTCGCGGTCGCCATGGTTATTAGATGACGTATGACATTAAAAACTACGAGAAAACATCTCCAACTTTCAATCTATTCCAGGGGTTAGGATGGTTTCCCGTAGTGTTGAATGTCATCGTAACATCATCTAATGACCTTGGCGACAGCAAGTAATATGCAATATGTCACGACGAGCTTAATCTATCTCTATATCGAGAATCAGTCGGGAGAAATCTATGAAAATATGCATGCTTATATTTTAGAATACGCTCTCTTCATTAAAAATAGTTTAAGCAATGCAGTGTTGCCGCTTCTATCAGAAAGTAGCAACAACTTTGTTATTTCAAATAAAATATCCTGTATTTTATCGCATTTTTAGATTCTTCCTGAAGAGCTGATTTCATCGATACATCACACTTGATGGGGTTTATCGGAAATGATTACAGAGATATAGGGTGTTCAAAATCGAGATTCTTCAACTTTAGGATATGTTTGTGTCGAAACTATTCATTATCTGCCAAAACGTCTCACATGTCCCTATCTCAACAAAAAATCCTTAAGTTGAAAAATTTCGATTTTGAACACCCTATATCTCTGTTATTATTTTAGATATACCCCAAGTGTATCGAAGAAATCAGCTCTTCAGGAAGAATCTAAAAATGCGATAAAATACAGAGTGTTCCATTTGAAATATCAATGAAGTATTTTGAACATTTTTATGGATAGCATTTTCATTTATACGAAAACTCATTGATACATGAGGATGTTGTTTGTGTTATCATTTTAATGAGGTATTATCTGATAAAATTTTCTTCTAGAAAAATTTCGAGATAACTTCAGGCTTTTAAGAGAAACAAAACCATTTATGACATATTTATTACATGAACTTTTTTTATATTTTCACCCAAAGAATCTGCCAAAGAAATTTCGTGCAACATTATTAATGAAACATCCTGTATATTATGATGTTCTCTTTTTGCAATGAACGGATGTAGGACAAATGTGTAAATGGGTATAAATAGCTATTTCTTCATTAGACAAAAGAATGAATAAGTGAGTATACAAATGAAAGTAAATTGTTAAAATGCAAATGAATTCTCATATGATTTTCCTCAACAAATCATTTTCAGTACATGTGAGAGAAAATAATTACAACATTCATAACTGGGTACCTGCATGTGGAAAAGATGTTCAATAGCTTCTCATGTTTTTCCGCTTTAATTTCCGTTCGTTATATGGGATAGACGCCCACTTACAAATTTTTAATAGAATCGGTAAACAGGGTGTCCCTTTTAATGATATGCTAATATTCAAGAGGCCGATTATTCGACCCATTTCAAGAAATAAACTCCATATGAACATATCTCGTGTACGTCCTAACTTTTGAGATACAGGGTGTCAATGTCGAAGATATGCATAGATTATTTTTTTCCACCCTGTATAGCTTTTCGTGAAAACAAAATTCAGTCTGCTATGTGACTGAATCGGTATTGAAATTTCAAAATGTGACATACTGTGGTTATCCAGTAATGGATGTCCTGACTGGAGTACTCAGACATCAAAATTTGAAGTCTGGTCTCGTTTTTCCGATTTTTCTCTAAAACGAAGCGTTCTATCGAGTATCAACAAGACGATCATTTTTGTACATAGTTGAATAGCCTTTCACAGCATTGAACGAAATTTGAAAATGTTCCATCATTGCTCACTTTTAGGTGAAATATTAACAATAAAATTCACGTAACGGTGCCACTGGTAGAGAAAATGACAATTTGTGTACATCATAAAATGCACCTTGATGCATGAGAGACGTGTACCAAATTTCAAGAGATGCATACAATATCGTCTCAGTTATTATCAAGAAACTGAATATTTCTCAAAACTTCATCACCCTGTATCTCAAAAGTTAAGACTTTTAGGACATACGTTCATATGAAGTTTTCTTCTTGCAATTAGTCAAAGAATCACCCTCATGTCTTTAAGGAACACCCTGTATAATTACAAAACTCGTCCAGTATATTGGTTCCACCGTCTTGAATTTCCTAATTTTGACGAAAGATTCATAATCTCCGACCTCGAGAACCGCCAGATACCAAATTTGAATAAAATCGGATCCTTATTACAAAATCCGTCATTTTGAATCCTCCGTCTTGAATTTCTTGATTTTGAAAAGAATCGGATTATAATTAAAAAACTCGTCCGCCATATTGGGGCGGATATCTTGAATTTCCTAATGTTGACGAAATAATCATGATCTCCGACCCCGAGAACCACCAGATCAAAATCGGATTCTAATAACAAAATCCGCCATTTTGGATCCTCCATCTTGAATTTCTTAATTCTGACGAAAGAATCATAATCTCCGACCCCGAAAACCCCCAGATACCAATTGAAGACCTCGGTGCAAGAATCGGGCAACTAAAGTTTTTTAAAATGTTGGGGGATGGAAACAAACCTAATATTTTTGAGACACTTGAAAAAAATTATGCTAAATGGTATGAATCCTTCAGAGTTACGTAAGATAAGCTGTATTAACTTAGATAGTAGTTTTCATTTACATTGTAGAAGCTAAAGAAGAAGTTTGAAAAAATGGAGTTGCCTGTTTCTTGCCCCAAAAAGACAAAATTCTGAAAATATAGTCAAACTCGTGTGATAATTTAGCTTTTTTATTGAAAATGAAATATATAACGAAAAATATTGTAAACAAATAGTATTTTGAACATAGGAAGAATTGCTGACATTTCCTGCGTCTCGATCTTCCTTAACATTGCCAGAATTTGGGCCCTCTTCATCAACAGTTATGTTTTTGGAACATATTCACTCCCCGAATCTTGAAAGGGCTCACTTTCACTGCCCCGACGACATTACATTCTATTGCATTAAACAAATGTCAAACTAATCACGCCATACACGATGGAAGACGCGGGAAGGCTTGCCGCTAATAACCTCACTCCGACATCTCCCACTACACGCGTACATTTCGGTGCTAAAATCAGGTAACTCCTGGAGTTGCCCGACTCTTGTACCTCAATGGCTCATCAGGTAAATCCTTTCCGTGTTAACTTGGTAGGAAATTGTTGGATTCGCTTGATACTTGCACCAAAAGATGCGCAAGAAAAAATTCTATATGTTAAATACAATAACCCAATTTCGGCATAAGATGGAGCTGCCCGGTTCTTGCACCGAGGTCTTCAATTTTGAATAAAATCGGACCATAATTACAAAACTCGTCCGATATATTCATATATTATTATGTACTATTTCTATATGATATTTCAACAAAAATGGGCCCAAAATGAGAGGTACTTTCTGAATCTATAAGAACGGAAAGTGAAGGATGGAAACAACGATATTGGTTTGACAAGTTTCCTATAATTTTTTCCCTACGTCGGCATCAACGCCTATTGCTCAATGGTCTATAGGTAACTAAAGAGACAGAAGTTGGTCCCGCTTTGAGGACAGCGATGATTCATATATTAGAAGTAGATATATGAATATACTAGATCCGCCATCTTGAATTACCTAATGGTACCGGGATAAAAAGTATCCTATAACCTCCTCCTGGTTCTAAGCTACCTCCCCACCAATTTTCAGCCAAATCGAACCAGTAGTTTCGGAGCCTATTCAATACAAACAAACAATCAAATCCTTCCTCATTATAATATCAGTATAGATGATTTCTATGACCTCTATCCGTACCGGACTCCTCTCGGTCGGCACGTACTCGATCTCCTCCTCCTCCGCATACCCTCCGTACCGCTGCCTGGGAGGAGAAACTTGGCCGGGGCCGCGACCGGGGGCGCAGTCGTCGTCGCTCGCCTCCACGGCCTCCACCTCCTCCTCCTCCTCGTCGGGATGGCGCAGCGTGGCGCCTCTCCTCTGTGAGTCGCGGTACTCCTCAGGCGTTATTTGAACGTTGTCGAGCTTCTGGAGCTGCGGCAGCGCCTTTATGACGGCCAGACGGTAACTGGAAAAAGGGCTGTGTTTTTGACAGGATCGTCAGATTGTTTGGTCCAATTTCGCCAGTCCAAATTTGAAAATTTCACAAATTTAGAATATTTCGAGCAAATTCTCCCAAAGAAATTAATGTTTTTTGTGTGACGGGAAAAAGTCAGACATCAGTCGGGTTTTTCTGTCATTCTATGGTGCAGGAATCGTATAGGAACGAATAAAACGGCAAATAATGAAGAATGGCATTAATGGAACAATTAAAATCTATTCCATCTAATCAATAAAAAATATCAAAGTTCAGATTATACCAATTTTTGGATCGTTGAATATTGAATAATAATTTTGGTACATGCGGGCTGTGGGGTAGGTTCGTCGGTATTTCTACTATGACTAATCAATAATAATTCCCTGGAAATTGGTGTTATTCGATATTATCAAATTTTGATAGTACATCATCATGGAGAATATTGTAGTGAATCATGCAGTGAGCACCATATTAAATATGGAAATGAAATGTGAATTCAAACTTATATTTGTTGGAGAAGATAATATCTAGCGACATTCTTCATGAAATTATGGATTCGTTAGATCACATAAATGAATTCAGGATGATGAACGTTTCATACTGACCTTTTTCAGAATATGTAACGAAGAAGTCCCAAAAAGTGAAAATTTTCATGGGATTGTTATACTGAGATTCAATATCTTTCAGAGCCATTTTTCCACTTTTGTTGCCTCATCTTTTCCGTCAGTAGAAGTTACCTACTCCTTATTCCCTCTTACGATACTATTATTTTTCTCAAAGTTTTTGATTACAACAAAATTAATATGATGCATTTCAAATCCCCTTTTTTGTCAAACATTCCAAAGATTCCACCACACATTCAATGATCTGAGACCGAATGGCCAGTGGCACCCAATGAACTCAATATAATATACCGGGTGGCTACGGAAGTATTGGCTACGGAAGTATTGCCTACGGAATATCTCAGTTATTGTATGAAGTAGGTTTGTGAAATTTGGAGCGTCGATATAATGACATAAGAGCTAAAATTTGAGCATATTGACATGTCGAAGTTAACTTCCGGTCTGACCGGAAGTAACATCAACTTTCTTATTTTAAATGGAAACCCTTTTTTTTTCTTTTCGCTTTATTCAGCATTCAATTCCCTTTCTAATGACATATCACAAATTGATATCTAACCAGAAACTAGATCAGAAAAAAATGATTATTGAAAATTATTATTGAAATTCACCGAGTAGGCCGTGGAAGCAAAATGAAAGCCAAAAATTGAAAAGTTGGCTATGGAAACCATACGTCACTCGATAACAGTTGCTACTACTGTCATGTTTATTTTCATCCGTCGGCGTTATGAAAAGCCGCCAAAAAAATATTGGAAAAATTGGGAAAAAAACAATACTCTGTAGGTCCATAACTTAAATAGGAACATACAACTTTTTCTTGCCTGTACTATTCAGCATAACCATTCCTTTCTAATGATATAATAGAAAGTCATTTTTTGGCTTTCATTTTGCTTCCACGGCCTACTCGGTGGATTTCAATAATAATTTTTTTCTGATCTAGTTTCTGGTTAGATACCAACTTGTGATATGTCATTAGAAAGGGAATTGAATGCTGAATAAAGCGAAGAAAAAAAATAGGGTTTCCATGTAAAATAAGAAAGTTGATGTTACTTCCGGTCAGACCGGAAGTTAACTTCGACATGTCAATATGCTCAAATTCTAGCTCTTATGTCATTATATCGACGCTCGAAATTTCACAAACCTACTCCATACAATAACTCAGATATTCCGTAGGCAATACTTCCGTAGCCACCCGGTATATTATATAACTCAAATAATATATATTGAGTTCATTGGTGGCATCAATCAGGATGATATTAAATTACACCAAATTCGCGATGGAAAATAGCACGTCGCTCCACCTCACGGCAACTGCTTGAACACTTCTGAGCGGTTTGTTTTGATGATATGACCAATCAGAAGAAACAAAAAACAAATGTGAACCAATGAAAACAAAGTAAACAGGCCGCTGTGACTGCTTTCGCGAACTCCGATAGGTGGCGTACGCTTATTTTCTATCGCGAATAGTCAATAAAACGGAGATTCTGTCCCACTGGTGACACTAGCGATGACAATAAAACGCAACTGTTTTATCTCTGCTCACAGGTTACAAAAGTCACTTTTCATAAAATATTTTTTTCTACAAGCGTGCGTGATTCACCCTATACCCGCACGCAATTTAGTTTGGGAAGTGTCAATTTTCACAAAACACACAAAAAATTCTTGAACTTGGAAAATCTCGATTTTTCACACCCTATATTTCAATAATTATAACTGCTAGACCCCAAGTATGATGGGTCGTTGAAATCAGCTCATCAGGGAGAATCTCAAAATGAAATAATATATAGGGTGTTCGATAGAAAAAAGTTTAACTTCAGTGTTTTTTGGTTTTTGGGAACACCCTGTATGTTTCGAAATAATTTTAAATGGTAGCCTATGTTGACATGCAACTTCCTAGAGAGGAAGAATTCCAAGAAGATAAGTGGTTAGCCTTCTAGAGACCGAGACGTTACTGGTGGCCCACCCTGTATATGGGAAAAGAAGTGAAGAAGAAACTTTCTGATGGACATTCCCTCAGGGTAGGAGTATGTACAGTTCATCATGACTCACCCTGTATATACATAATGATACCCTCCAAATGGTATACTGGGTGAAATCATGTCCAAAAATCTGCCGGTCTAAAACTATCGTTCATGACATTGGTGTTTTCGATGTTTTAAATGAGATGTTCTGAACATAAGTAAGAGATTGGTAAGAGTAAATAAGAGTAATATTCTTTTTACCAACTTTGACTGAGATTGACCAAGATTCTCAGTGCAGCTCAATAACTCAGTTGTATAACATGTTTCATTTAGCTTAGTCTGATGTGAGTTGTCTTAAGAACTTATTGAGACTATTTCTTTCCCCTCACCCCAACTGAGCTTGCTATTCATCTGGTGTTGTAGTGAGAAAAAGGTGAGACTGGATTAATTCTAGTAATTCTGTGGTTCTGTGCTGAAAATTGTGAGGTTATATTTTCATTTTGTCGAACTTTCAGCTTTGAAGTTACAGTCCACAGGTTGAATCCTTTGAATACTTACTACAATAATATTTCTATGCTCTTCATTAATTTCCTCGGTCATTTTACATTTTGGTTGAATTATGTTAGGTTATGTTTTCTTTCCTTGCCCTTCCTGACAGATAAAAGTATGTTCTTTTTATCCAATCGACAACTCAGATCCATCTCACCTCCTTCTAACTCAATTGATCTCAGTAGTGAGAATGTAACAAGGTAAAATATGATTCGTGTTCTCATGGCATATCTTCTTTCTTCTTTCTTATGTTAATGGTCTAAATAGTAGTTTATATCAGTGTATAATAAAATGAATGATGATCGAGGTTGGTAGAACTGATGATTATTTGTAATGGAAGGTCTCGATCAGAAAAAGCACATTTTCTTCCAACTAAACTAAGCATCTTAGATACATACATACCCTTCTGAATTTGCACATGGATTTTCGCTCAGCCATAGGTTCTTCAAGTTGGGCAAGTTTTGGAGATATACAACATCGCTGATTTCTCGAATTTCATTTTGTCTTATGTACAGTTCTTCTAGCCTCTTGCAGAATTGAAAATCCGCCAACGTGTTGATTTTATTTATACTAGAAAACAATAAAAAAGGTAGGTATATTTTGACTAAGTTTTAGAAACTAGTAAAAATACTTACAGGTGATTGACTATCGATTTCACAATTTCAACACTAGGTATCTTGAAAACTAATACATATCTTGAAAGAATTCTATTTTTTTATTTCAAATACATATTTTGCATTTAATATATTCCAATGAAATATTGACATACAGTGTCATTCATAAAGTCGGCATCATATGAGAAAAACTTTTATCAATGACTTATTTTGAAATTCGAGTTGGACGTTAAGTTTTGCTTCAAAGAAGATGAAAAATGGCCTACTCAATCGGGGTCACGTGACTTTTGCTACATGTCAAAAGTTACATTTTTTCAAATTAATCACTGAAAGTAGGCTTATTTGTTCGAATATCGAAAAAGTTCATTTGAAAAAGTTGTTTCTATTCAAATTTTACATAGTTGACTCGGATTTTATCTCTCTATTACATTTTTTAGATTTCGATATTTTTTAAAAAATTTCGAAATTTCTGTAATATTAAAAAAATTGTAAATTCGATAAAACTTCTTCATACCAGTAGTTTCATCATGCTACCAACATTCAATTACTAATTATCACTAATTATCGACAAAAATATGGTTTTCTTCAGAAAATGATAATCTCCGCTTCAAAATTCTGTTATGTTTGATGCAAACATAACATCAAAATTCTGTTATGTTTGAGTCAAGCATTTAGAAACGAAATTCATTTAGATTTATTTTTTCAGTACTGAAAAGATCAGTTTAAATGAATTTCGTTTCTAAATGCTTGACGATATATCAACTTTGCATCAAACATAACAGAATTTGGAAGCGGGTATTATCATTTTCTGAAGAAAATCATATTTCTGTCCATAATCAGTGATAATAAGTAATTGAAAGTAAGTAGCATGATGAAGCTACTGGTATCAAGTAGTTTTATCGAATTTACAATTTTTTTAATATTACAGAAATATCGAAAATTTTTAAAAAATATCGAAATCTAAAAAATGTAATAGAAAGATAAAATCCGAGTCGCATATGTAAAATTCAAATGGAAACAACTTTTTCAAGTGAACTTTTTCGATATTCGAACAAATAAGCCTATTTTCAGCGATTAATTTTAAAAAATGTCACTTTTGACATGTAGCGAAAGTTACGTGACCCCGATTGAGTAGCCATTTTCCATCTTTTTTGAAGCAAAACTTAACGTCCAACTCGAATTCCAAAATAAGTTTTTCCCATATGATGCCGACTTTATGAATGACACTGTATATGAAACTGGTGGTCAATAAATTTGTCGTTCTAAATATATTCAATAGTTCACTAGATTTGTGTGATGAAATGGTGATATTCATAGTCAGTCACCCATACATACACAATATAAAGAATAAAGAATACTCGATAGAATAATAATAAAATCGTCCTGGAAATCAAAATCTATGCATTCTAGAAAATTATGTTCAAGCGATATCCTCGATGTATCACTGATATTTTCAGATAAATTCTTGACTGTATTGAAACATACCACATCTCTAAAATTTGTTAGCAGACCGAGGTCGACCGATGGATCTGGTCTGCCAAAACAGTATATTCTCTGGGAACGCTATTCATCAAATAACTGAATTAATTGAATCCTGATTATAGTAAATTTATAATACCTATCCACTTATAGGTATAGCCTGCGAGGTGAAATGGTATTGCTTTCATCAATTTTATTTTTCGTAAAAGCAATTACATTTTAAACATAAAAAGAGGGGTGAAATGACTATAGGTACTTCAAATTCAAACTAATGGAGAGTACAGGCCATGACACATACAGTGTGTCCAGCTAAAACTTGTCACCTCCCTTATCTCCAGAGTCGTAAAAAAATAATCGCATCTTTAGAATCCCCCTAAAAGCTGATTTATTCGACGTGTTACACTTGGGGTCGAGCGAGAATGATTACAGATTACAGAGATATAGGGTGTACAAAATCGGGATATTTAACAGGCATTTTCTGATATTAAATATGATATTATTAATTCATTTTTAAGAAAATGTTATGTCACGAACGAGAACAGTTGATTTGCTTAGAAATTTAATAATCTTGGTATAGTGGAACACAGTGAAATAATAATAATGTAGGTAGCAGTAAATATTTGAGAAGAATTTGGAAAATACCCTTTCGTGACGATATCTCAGTAATCATTCCCGCTAGACCCCAAGTGTGATGCATTGATGAAATCAGCTCTTCAGGGAGAATCTAAAGATGCAATTAAATACAGAGTGTTCCATTTGAAAATCGAAAGTTGATGCTCGTTCCGCTTCTAGGTTTCAACTTTGGGATATGATAGTTACAGAAAAATGTGTCCCCCACCAAATTAATATCAACCTATCCGCGCGATTTCAATTTTTTTTAACGACCTCGGAGATAATGGGGCTGACATGTGTTAGCTGGGACACACTACACTGTATTTTATAAATGGCATCTCGGCATTTCTGTTGTTTCCAGACCCTTCGTACACCCTGTATATGTACCGTTGAAATCATTCATTCGTATCAATCTTTTTGTACAATCCATATATATCCACAACTTTCCCATTATCAGGCAGAATTTCCTCATGGTACCTAGTCTATATTCCTACTCCTTGAAGCAGTAGAGATAGTTTTTGAACTGCGGTTACGGAACCAAAACAACCGCGAATCAATATTCATCATCCATCTCTCCTAATATGTACAGGTGGCGAGACCATAACAAATTATGAGTCACACCTGTGTGGGAGAGTTGAAATCCCTACAAGGCAGGGCGCGCCTCTGTCTACCTACGACATGTCGGCGAAAACTATACCGGGTGAGACAGGCGACATGTAGCAGCCTGTAGTTTTTTTATTTGAAGAGATAAAATTTTGAAATTCACAGGGGGTATATAATAAATGGTAGCGCACTTTACGAAATTATCGACAATTTTTTTCAACCACCTGTTTGACCGGAAGTGACCCCAACTTTTTTTTTTTTTTATGTCACCCTGTACATTTCTTCAGTCTATCTTTCTTGCCTTGAAATTTCCTATCCAACCATGTATCACAAAGTGGCATTCATTTCTTAATTCGTTGTTGAATTGCTTTTTATTCAAAAAGAATAAGTTGGCTGTGACATGAATTCGATGATATATCGACACTTGGTAGGCTTTGAAATTTAAATATCATTAGTAAACCGATATTATTCAAAATGTTTTGATATTCTGATCAATGTCTGCAGGTTGTCAATAGCTTGTTTATTGACTTACAATAATTTTTTCAACCTGATCTATAACATTTTTTGGTGAACGCCCTGTATAACTGTAATCGAATTGATATCGAAATTCTACTGGACTGGGTCCTCTCAGAATCATCCGTGAAATCTAACACCTTGATAATATACAGGGTGTCCCATTTGAAGTAACGAAGTAGGGGTCCATTTCCGGTACATTCGGAAGTGCCACAATCCTCAGAATGTTTCAGCCGGATAGCACTTGTCAACAATAGTAAACTCCCAAATTTTCAAATTCGGCCCACCTATAGTTTTCTATAAATTGATCGATGCAGTTCACGGAGGGACACCCTGTATACATTGTCCATGTTTCACGAGAACAAATAATACAAAATGAACACAGCAATTATTACGGAATTACTCGAAAATGAACAAGTGAAAAAATTATATTTTATATACAGGGTATCCGTAAAGGTCATGTCGTAAATGCAGGGCCTGATTATATTTCGTCATATTTTTTTATATCATGATTGCTATGTATCTATACTACAGGACACTAAAAATGCTGGATACACCCCTGGAATAGACTAGATTATTTTATGTTAACATTAAAACATCTGTCGCTTTGCTTTGCTATGTAACAGAATTCAGGAATTCAGGAACATGCTTTAAATGTGATTTGGGGAAACAAAGCCTCGTTGTCAGGTAAACGTATAAATAGAGATATCAATAAGGAAATTTGTGATATCAACGTTTCGAAGATTTGTGTGCGAGATTTTGAATCCCTGGGGGAATCCCTGGGGGAATCCCAATTCAGTATTACTGGGTGAGGAAGTGTCCCTGATTTAGGTATGTGGGATTTGCCCATTTTCTGTATGAAGGTATTATGTTTATGTAAAATTTAGAACCCGAACTTATCTTAGAAATAAACTGTTTGGACCTTGATATTCGCATCTGATTGCTCAGAACCTTTACAGCTATTCTTAAGAATGGGAATTGGACCAAGGAACCGTATATTTCCGCTTGGAAATTCAACAAGAAATGAATGATGAGACTAATGAGTTGTACGTACATGCAACAAAAGATTTTGTGAAACATACGTTCTAGTTCTAGAATCAACTGTTTTGCTAATTTATAACAGTACCTAATGGCTGTAATAGGATAATAGTATACACTCCCGTGTTTTCTCTTCAGTTTTGAAGATACATAACATTTGGAACAATAATTCATGACCCATATATATACTGGGTGGTCCGGTTTTAAATTGCGTTACTATTACCAAAAAGTGTAAAAACCTCAGTAGGTATTTTCCTATCATTTAATAATTTAGTTGTTATAAGTTAATAGAATTTTCTAATTTTCTATATCAGGTGTAATTTCGATTTAATCAAGTGCTTGCAAAAAAATTGAGAGAATCATCAAATGTACAAAAAACCCTGAAAATATAAGTTCTGAAAGCTACAAAACAAAATGAATAGTAAACAAAATGGTCATTATCGAATATCGACTAGTTCCACTGGGTAAAGTCGAATTTTTCGATGGCTAAATAAGAAAAGAAGTTTTCGATCGTCTATTAATACTACAAAAGCCACTTTTGGCAATATGAGAGCACTCAAATAGGAAGGAATGAACTGACAAGGACAAATTGCAAATCAATAATTCTCGTGCCCTGTTTGCTGTTTTTCTTTGCTACCTACTCTGGTATTCATATCAAAACTTGTTTACGACCATTGACAAGTAGCTAGTTTAATTGATATCGAGAATGTT